GTGTGTACTTATTTGGAGAGTGATTTATTTAAAGTTAATTCCTTGAACTCTTAAGACAGTGGGAAAACTGGTAAACCAAATAGAACTCTGTAAAGTTTGATGCGTTCACCGTAAGGAATCTGTTTTGACTATACTCACAACAACTAAAAACGTATAGGTAAATAGTAATAATTGAAAACAGGTACATTCCTGTGTCAATGTAATGAGAAGTGGTGTGGGTTACTAGAGTGATTTTCACGTCGCATGTTTGCTTGTGCTATTCAAAAGATAACCGATAAGTTGTGTTTTTAAAGAGAGAACAAAGAACACCCATTTTCTATTATATTATCAATTAACAATGTGACAGCTCTCAGTTTTCGATCGCGTACAGTGCAGATGAATGGAAATAATCATGAATGCTTGGAAATAATAGTCCCTCTTGAAACTTTTTCAGTTTCAACAGGTCCTAGACTAAATCACGTGAACATTATCCTTTACGATGAGAGACTGCACTGCTAATGACTGGAGCAACTTAAATTTTTTTGAGAAAAATTATAGAAATATTCTTTATTAAGCTGAGGACAATCCATGCTTTGCAAATTTTAGGGGGGCGCACGCTCGCCACGCCCCCACCTGAATCCACCCCTGAGTAGTTCATATACCACATCAACAACAATTCTATGAATTAGATTTTCTATTACGGTAGTAGTTAACCTTTGTCAGACTATTATGTTGTCATACTAATGGGATGTAGGACCAGGGGGTGTTGAACTAAAAGGATGTCAGACCAATGGGGTGTCGGATCAGTGGGGTGTCGGAATATCGGGGCAACCCAGAGTTGGGGACTTACTCAAGTTAATATATCTAATCCCAAAATTTTGCTGTTTTCCTGCTTTATCAAGTGAAAATACATCTGGAAATACAAAAGTCAAACCCGTCATGTCCCAACTGTGTCTGTATTAAGTGATCGCCAACAATATTTCCCAATTTCAAATGATTTGGATGGAGGCTATTTAACTTTCAGAAACCAGAAAATAAGGTTATTATCAACTTTATAAAAGCACAGAACACTTGTGGTGGTGGTGGGTGGGGCTGGGGCTGGGGATAAATATATAAAGAAGAAATAAGCAAAAGCAAACTATGCAAACAACAAAAATAACCATAAAAAAAAAAGAAACCAATAATGATTGGCAGATACAGAAAATCAGATAAAAATGAATCCACTGTATGTGCAATCTTCCAGTGAAGTTCCATGATACTGGGTTAAAATCTGTATGAGGAGTTGATTACATAATATGTGTTCCCCCTCTTTCATAATTTGGCTAAAAAATGAATAAGTTCCTAAGTCTGGATGAATCAGAAAAAAATCCTCAACCAATTTCTTAATATGTGCAATCTTCCTGTGAATTTTCAGGGTTCTGGGTTGAAAACTGTAGGAGATATAGATTACACAATTAAGATATAAATAAGAAGATACCCACTTTTCCCTGCCCACCCACCCAGACCAAAAATTGATGATAACTATGCTCGACAATTACCCAATTCCCTCTTCTAAAATTTCCAGGAAATGTACCTAATGGGACCTACAAGTGTTGGTTAATAATGACATTCCATCGCTATAATTTACCTAGGCAATTAGAAGGCACCAAAATACATTTGTAACTATTCTTTTTGTTTCACCTCCTGGGAAAGCGAGATACATCAGATTAAATAAAGCCTCAATTTGAGACATCATTAAATTACACAGATGTTGTGATTCTAACATTATTTAAGAAAGAGTGCACACGCTGAAATGTCTCACCTACTATACTGACCATCAATTTTATGTTGATAGTCCTAAATATAAAGTTTTAATACAAGTATCACACTAACATTTATGATCCAAGAAAATGAGGTCAAGGTCAGATAAACAAAGCCGGAAATACATGTATACTTTTAATACAATCATTCCATACACCGAATAAAGATGACCTATTGCTTATAGTATGAAGAAACATACAAAACCATGGAAATTTTATATTGACCAATGAACCATGAAAATGAGGTCAAGGTCAGATGAACCCTGCCAGGCAGACATGTACAGCTTAAAATCATTTCATGCATCAAATATAATTGACCTATTGTTTATAGTATCTAAGAAACAAAGTTAGCCAAGCAAACTGAACATTGACCAATGAACCATGAAAATGAGGTGAAGGTCAGATGATACCTGCCAGACAGACATAAACACCTTACAATCATTCCATACACCAAATATAGTTGACCTATTGCTAAAAGTTTAAGAAAAACAGACCAAAACACAAAAACTTAACATTGAGCAATGAACCATGAAAATGAGGTCAAGGTCAAACAAGAGGCTGTCAGAGCAACACCAAACCGGATTTCATGCAGAGGTCGAACCCTGAACAGTTGAGCAAGTATGAACATTACATTTAAGCTTAAAACAGCTCTGAATTTGGATTATGATTGAATATTTGACACAGCATAGGTTTGTGACTCAAAAAAAAATGTGGTCCAAGAATTGAAAAAGGAGTAGGTCCAGTAAGACCCCTTTTTGGCCCCAAAATATAGCAGTTTTACAAAATTGTTAAAATGTTAACTTTTAGCTATTTATTGGAAAATAGAATACTTCGGCTACATAAATATGGGCTGTTTTTGACAAAGCAATCCATATATATCGGGTACTAGCATCATTAAGTCATGCTAAATTACTGAAATCTTCACAATTTTAGCATTTGAGTTAAATTTTAGACGGTTTCCGTCTTGAATGGAAGTGGCCGCATTTGTGTTCATTCTTAATATTTTAATGCAAGTTGTATTTGATGATAATACATAACATATATAAAGGTTGAGAGTGAACACGAATGCGGCCACTTTCATTTTTGACAAAAACCATCTGAAAAGTGACATATTATAGCATATTTGACAGATTTTTCATATTTAAGCTTGAATTTGAGGATCTGAAATGACTTAATCAGTTCAAATCTTTCACACAAACTAATTGAATCGACTGAAGAAGACACTTAAGTGTTTAACAAGTGTCCAAAATCTTTCATCAGATGAACCTGAAATTCGAGGCCAAAATCGGCCCTTACCGGACCTACTCCTTTGAAATCGGACATTTACCTATTATGGTCCAATATCCAAAATCTAAGTACATTGGTAGAATCAGCATATCAAAGAACCCCAAGAATTCTATTTTTTTTAAAGCGTTTTCATGTTAATGAACGGACACTGTTTGGCTGCCGCATGCCCGCTGTACATCCCCAAATCAATAACCGATTTTTCTTTTGAAAATCCGGATAAATAAAACCTAACAGACTGACATGTACATCGTAAAATATTTCCATACACCAAATACAGTTGACCTATTGCATAAAGTATTGGAAAAACAGACCAAAACAAAAAACTTAACATTGAGCAATGAACCATGAAAATGAGGTCAAGGTCAAATAAAACCTGCCAGACTGACATGTACATCATAAAATAGACTTGACCACGAAAACTTAACCTTGTTCACTGATCCATGAAATGAGGTCGAGGTCAAGTGAAACCCCCCTGGATCCGCCACTGATTGTTATAATTTAAAGTCATTTACTTCCAAATTTAACAATTGATACCAATTTTTTGTAGTTCTTTACGACTTTAGTGTCACTGGCAAGTCAGGAGGAGAATCAAACTGCTCGTGATGGGTAAAGATTGCTATCACTTTGCAGTGGGAACTTGAAAAATTAAACATTGCATTGTATAAAATTGGTTCAACTACAATTGTGGACCAAGGAAGATAACTCTAATTTTAAATATTACTTCAACAATGACATAAAAAGATAGCTTGGACAGAGAATATTATTCTGCTACTTCATTAAGTTAAGAATTAGTTACCATAATTTAGAAATAGAAAAAGGTTGCTATCAGTGGCGGATCCAGAAATTTTCATAAGGGAGGCCCACTGACTGCCATAGAGAGGACCCGCTCCAGTCATGCTTCAGTGATTCCCTAAATAATCAACCAAATTTTTCCCACAAAAGGGGGGCTCCGGAAAGGATAGAATGTTAGCTGTGCCACTTGCTGGAGGATGAAAAACACTTTCTCCTTGAATGTAAAGTTAACAAAAAAACTAAGGGATAATCTATTTGAAAATTGTTTACCTTCTCATAATTATATGTCTCTTACCCAGGAACAAAAAGTAAAAGAAATGCTTAACCCCTCTATCACAGAACATGTTAAAAAGAGTAGCTCCTTTATATTTTGAAGAATTGTTATTTCTTCGCTATATAATGCTTGTTTTTGTTACAAACTAATTATGTTTATATGACAATAAAAATATTGATATTTTTGGAAGAAATACTAGATTCATGCACCATGCACAATTTATGTAATTTTTTTTGACAAGTATGGTTATACACATTCACATCATTTGTAACTTGAATCTCTAAATATATATTTCATTGATAAATTTCTTGAAATGTTCATGGATAAGATGTGTAGAATGTGATCAATGCACAATGTTTTTTTATCTCATAAGTAATGATAAAGTCTGGAAAATTGATAAACATAAAGACAGCCACATAAGGGTTTTGTTTGCACAATATTGATGTTGCAAAGGAAAAAACTATTCATAGGTACACATTAGCTGTTCCAAATCTTATGTTAACCTCTCGTGATTTTTCCCGCTGTGAATATAATGTTTTATCGAAGAAGATTCTCTACATTTTTTAGCCAACTAGAATTTTTATAGTCATATAATAATATCAATCAACACAGTTACTTGAAATTGATGTTTCACAATTCTTTTGAACCTACAGACTCAACAGTGGTCTTGGTGTGTTTTATTGTAATTTCTCTAATGTATGAGTAATAAATTTCAATTTCCATGAAGAAATCTATAAGTTTCTGACATCAAGTTACATCTAAATCTATTATTAGATATATTGATAGCATATTGTATTCATGAATTCATCAAGTATAAATAAACAAACAAACAACAATAATTCAAATTGAAATTTAGGAAACAAGAGCAGTGTTCTTATATGAATTTATTTCAATTTTACATATTTTGAAAATTTGGAGTTGGTCACAGAATTTTGGCAGCCATTGTTACATTTATTTACAAGTTGTTTAGAGCTTGACATATATAATGTAGACACCCATTAAATATTGTTGAAGACCCTAATTTGTTTTGTTATATGTTCTTGCATTCTTTTTGTAATTTGTTTTGACCTCTAGATATATTTTATGGGGTTTTCGTTGGTTAACTGTCACTGAAACAACACACATCTCATTTTACTGATCAGATAAATTTTAATAGCATGGTCACATTTACAATCTAGTATGACAAAGTAAATATGTTCATAACAAAGAAAACAAAACTGTAAACACACAATCATCTGTAAGATGAACAAATAGTATGCAAACAATCATAAGATCTGCAATAACACATTTTACAATATCAATATGATAATGACTGGTTAATCTAATTACATTTTTTTCTCTCAATCAAGTGTGGGAGACTTGTTTCCTTGCAAGCTAACAATATTTAAAATCTCACTGTAAATGTCTGTCTAGCAGACTGTTCTCATATCACATTAACATTGCATGTTCCTGAATGTGCATAATAATTGCTGCCTGATATTAAGCAGTTATAAATTGGATCATGATATACATTACATAAATATATCATGGAGGTCTAGAATAGTTCTATCACGAGATAAAGGATACTACAGATACAATTAAGTCTGCCTTATATCTTGACTTACATCTAGAAATTGAAAATGAGGGTCGGTTGAAAACAAAACTTTATGACAAAAGAGATGATTTCAGCTTCCCAATTGTGAACTTTCCATTTCTATGTAGTAACATTCCAGCAGTGCCTGCATACGGAGTATATATCTCCCAATTGATACGATATTCCCGGGGTTGTGTTTCCTATCATGATTTCCTTGATTGCTGCTCACAAGGAAGCTATTAAACCAAGAGTTCCAAATGGTGAAGTTGAAATCATCCCTTCGTAAATTTTACGGATGCCATCACGAGTTGGTTGACCGTTATGGAATAACCGTTTCACAGATGATATGGGATATGTTCCTTATGTCGTAACTGCAATTTCCTGCCTTTTCACGAATGTGACTTACCGAATTGGACTATTTACCGGATTTGTAATAACATAAGCAACATGACGGGTCCCACATGTGGAGCAGGATCTGCTTACCCTTCCGGAGCACCTGAGATCACCCCCAGTTTTTGGTAGGATTCGTGCTGTTAGTCTTTGGTTTCTATGTTGTGTCATCTGTACTATTGTTTGTCTGTTTGTCTTTTTATTTTTGGCCATGGCGTTGTCAGTGTGTTTTCGATCTGTGAGTTTGACTGTCCCTCTGGTATCTTTCGTCTCTCTTTTATGCATTAAAAATAGGTTAAGTTGATCTCTTTTACCAAAAATATGCCTTATGATTAAAAATGAAATAATGTATCGTTACTCTCCAACATCATTTCTGGTTAGATTTTCTCTAATGCATAACTTAACTTAAGTCCCCATGCCAAATATGGGATTGACTAGATCTTCATGACAAAAGATCAGCACTTATTAAAAACCTGCACTAAATGTACATGTATGCTCTGCAAGTTCCTATTCTATGGCATATCTGATAGTAATCTTGAACCCTGGTCACTATCCTCTTTGTCCTTAGCTGTCTTTTTTCCAATACATGTACTACAATTCACAAAATGTGCTCTTTCAAGATGGTACAGTCACATTAATAATTTCCCTTTGTAAACCAAGCCAGTTTAAAATGTCTTGTGATGTCAAGTCCAGTATGCGTATCTTCAAAACTCAGTGTTACTTTCATTTTCTAAGTGTTTATCTCCATATCACAAAAATTCTGCCTATACATTATTTTCTATTTTCTGACATGCCAGAAGCCTTTGTTCTTCCTATATTTACTAGTATTACACTAGCCTGTACATTATTTTCTATTTTCTGACATGCCAGAAGCCTTTGTTCTTCCTATATTTACTAGTGTTACACTAGCCTGTACATTATTTTCTATTTTCTGACATGCCAGAAGCCTTTGTTCTTCCTATATTTACTAGTGTTACACTAGCCTGTACATTATTTGCTATTTTCTGACATGCCAGAAGCCTTTGTTCTTCCTATATTTACTAGTGTTACACTAGCCTGTACATTATTTTCTATTTTCTGAAATGCCAGAAGCCTTTGTTCTTCCTATATTTACTAGTATTACACTAGCCTGTACATTATTTTCTATTTTCTGACTTGCCAGAAGCCTTTGTTCTTCCTCTATTTACTAGTCTTACTAGCCTGTACACATTATGGTGTAAAAAATTTTGGAATAAAAAGTGCAAAAATGCTTGTAAATATGCACTATGATTATAACATAGGAAGCATTCAGGTACAATCGTGATCACAAATTTCATTGGTCATATAAAATATTGATTCCTTTATTCTGTGTCTTCCACATTTGGTTCATTTCGGAGTATTATTGATATTCTTCTGTCTTTTGGTATAATTTGTCCTTTAAATTTAGATTCTGATTCAGGAAGAATTTCATGGGAGTATTCATACCTTATAGCATCTCTGAAATAAAGATGACATATTTATTCATATGGTATTTAGTAGGGATGTCAACTCGGTGAAGATTTACTAATCGAGTACTCGTTCAATTTACCGAGCGATACTCAAGTACTCGCTCGGATCAACATCTACAAAATGGAAACACAAAACTATACCCATTTCACATATTTTGGGTCTTTGTCTTATGGACGTAAACTCTCAACATAATTACCTAGGACTAGATAATAGTCCCTGGAATTTTATACCATAATTGGTAATAAATAATAATAAAATCTATTTTATTTGAGTGTCGCACATTGATTGATACAGTACATTTAGACATATATACAATTATATCTTTATAAATGCAATCAATGCCCAGCAAAACAGTTGACTTATGAGACACTATAAAACACATACATGTGCATATATACAATAAACTGCATGTTAATTCGTAAAATATTTCTAGGGTTAAAAATCTAATTAATTTAATTTAAAAATCGCTTTCAAAAATACTATTAAATATAAAATGTTATTTAAAATCATATAAAATACTTTATTAGAAATTCTTTAAATTAATAGCTCATTTGCTACATGCACTCATTATGTAAACTGGCAATGATCTAATCAATTAATTAATAAACATCTATAGAAAAATGTTTACTTAAACAACAGTATTTGTAATTCTTAAAAAAACACCTTTAATGATCAACAAAGGGGTGATGATTAGAACTTACTGATACCTTTAACAATTCTCTAAGGGTCGACACAGGGTGCAACTAATTTGTTCTTATTTTGGAAATATTATCTTTTCAACTTTTTTTGGGACGAGTCGATTTTTCAACTTTGTTACGTAATTAACAGTCCTGCTGATGAAAATACTTGCTCTGACGGTAAAGAGGTGTTGGAATGACTAAGAGACTATAAGCTAAAAGTGTAAGCCTGGGAAAGGTGCTCTTGTTCATATCCTACATCTGTTCGAGGAAATTTTAAATGACAATTAAACGCAAACATTCGAAGCTTTTTTTTTTTTTAATTTTGATTAATTTTGATTAATAATAATTTCCCGGGAGGCGCTCTTCATAATATTTTTTCTTTAATAATGCAATAACATTCTAACAGAAACCGATCAGTCAAGTATTATTTTGGTATTCGATACTCGGTACTACCGAGCGATACTCGAGTACTCGAGTGATACTCGAGTACTCGAGTACTCGTTGACATCCCTAGTATTTAGACGTGATAATCTCTAACTGTTACTTCATTGTACACATTATATATGTTAACTAGATTTCTGTTTTCAGGAACAACAATAATCCAATACCAACAAACATTATTTGTATCATAAAGTTTCTTTAAACTAGAGCTTCCGAGAAGCCTGAATAACTCGCCTGGAATGTATGTTTAATATTGCCTACCTTTCCTATAAGATTTTACTAAAGCTCTTAGCTTTGGCAACTTAAAAGACCTTCAAATGCAAAAAAAAAAAAAAAACACTTTTTAAAACTCCTTTCAGAAAAGTAAGAGCAGCAGATGTGCATACCAAGCCCGTAACTGGTTCACCTTAGTGTGTTAAATTAACTAAACTGTTGAAAAATAAACATTTTGCATGATATGAGCCCAAATATTGAGGCTCTTAAGAGCCTGAATACCTCACCTGGCAAATATATGCTCTTTTGTTTTTTATTTTCCCCTTAATAACAATGATGATTTTTGCAGTTTTCTCTTTTATAGTTTGAAGGAAATGTTTTTGAAAAATGCAACGAAATAGTAAACATTGTCATTTAAGGGCAATAACTCCAATAAAAGTTGGGTTCAGAAAAGTTTAGCATAAGTGGAAGAATGATAATACTGTAAATTCAGAAATTATTGTGTGCATTTATTATTGAGATTTTTTAAGAAGGGACAAAAATGCAAGATTAATTATTGCGATTTCAGGCAAATGTTCATTGAGATATATTGTATCAGATAACAGAATGCGAGTTCTTATTATTGTGACACTCACCTAGTTGCATTATTCTCATTAATAAAAACTTGCAATAAAATCTGAATTTACAGTACATAACAATTATGAATTTTGAAGCCATTGTTTCTCTATTTGAAATCCCCAAAATCAACAATATCTAGAAATAAACTAGATGAAGCAATGCAACATATCCTGCTGAATATTTTGTACCAGTTGGTTTCTGCAATGTATATTGTAGATTAGAGGAGCGGCACATAAGAAAAAGTGTGACAACCATGCAGATAAAATAAAACAACAGGTGATGATTAATTTAGTTAATGTATGTCCAACAAGTGAAACTGTGAGCTACTGCTCACTGATGATACCCCCGCCCAAATACTTGACGGTAAACAGGAAGTTGTTGAGTGATGAATCTGAAAACGCATCACACGGTATAGCTGACTTATATAAACCCTGAAACCAAATTTCAGAAATCCTTGTAATGTAGTTCCTGAGAAAAATGTGATGAAAATTTTTAACTTGGATGTCATGTGTAAAATGATTTAAGTGTTCGGTAAACAGGAAGTTGTTGAGTGATGAATCTGAAAACGCATCACACAGTATAGCTGACTTATATAAACCCTGAAACCAAATTTCAGAAATCCTTGTAATGTAGTTCCTGAGAAAAATGTGACGAAAATTTTCAACTTAGATGTCATGTGTAAAATGATGTAAGTGTTCGGTAAACAGGAAGTTGTTGAGTGATGATTCAGAAAACGCATCACACGGTATAGCTTACTTATATAAACCCTGAAACCAAATTTCAGAAATCCTAGTAATGTAGTTCCTGAGAAAGATGCGACGAAAAATATTCATGGGACGGACGGACGGACGGACTGACGGACGGACTGACAGATGGATGGATGGACGGACAGACAGACAGAGGTAAAACAGTATACCCCCACTTTTTTAAAGCGGGGGTATAATTATTTAAAGTCAAAGTTATTTTAAAAAGAAACGTGATTCTATCAATTAAAATGTTACGGAAATTATTGAACCAAAGCATGCAGATATACAAAACTATGTCTTCTATGTAGTACATTTCTTTTTTAAATCATAACTAATCCATAATGTATAATTGTCAAACAATACTTCATTCAGTGATTGTTGATGTTGATTGAAAACTTAAGCAGCTAATTAATTTTCCGGTATTGTTGCCGAAGTTTACCGATCAAGACCTTGATAAACAATCAACAAATAATCATGAAGCATGTGAAAAAAAGTGAATTGGAAGGGAATTTTTTTCAATATTTACTATGTGTTTCAATTTGCTAATAAAACTTTGTCATAACAGTTGTTTAATGATTTGGTGTATTAATAACTTTTTTCAGAATCAATTAACACTATCTACCTTCCAGTGCACGTTTGTTTACCTTTTTTATCATATGTTTTCCCTAGCACTTGCACTGTGTAGTAGCCAAAGGTTTAATGAGAGGTATTGTGGTTAAGGTCACTGCATACGGAAAAGTTATCAGCGAAATACATTTCTGAAGATTTTGATAAGATAAAGGATTTTTACAAAAAAGTCCATGTATATTTGTTTATAGTTAAACTTAGCCATTCAAGTATATAAAACATATTCAACATTTGTCTTTTAATTTGAAGTATCATATATGACTTTAACAGATAAATGGGGAATGTGTCCATGGGACACAGATGATGCCCCCGCTTGCATTTCATATAAATTTATAAAGGGACATAACTGAAGAACGGTAAAAGTGACACTACCCAAATTTGTACTTGATCTGAGTTTTGTGGTAATAAGTATTGTGTATAAGTTTCATAACATTTGGTTGAGGCAAACTTAAGTTATCCAATTTTTCCATTTGTAAAGGGGCATAACTCTAGAACGGTTAAAGTGACGCCACCAAAATTCTAACTTGATCTGTATTTTGTGGTAATAAGCATTGTGTTTAAGTTTCATAACATTTGGTTGAGGCAAACTAAACATAGAGAATGGAAAGGAAAAATTCTGCAATTTTTCCATTTGTAAAGGGGCATAACTCTAGAACGGTAAAAGTGATGCCACCAAAATTCAAACTTGATCTGTGGTTTGTGGTAATAAGTATTTTGTATAAGTTTCATAACATTTGGTTGAGGCAAACTAAAGTTAGAGAATGGAAACCAACTTTGGGACGTACAGACGAACAACGGTAAAACTTTATGCCCCCTCCGCTACAGCGGGGGCATAAAATTTTTTATATGATACTGAGAATCTTTTTTTTTTTTAGCTAACTGAAGAATTGTTAAAATGTTTATTTGTTATTATAATACCCCGTAACAATTTTTGCAAAATCTTTACACTTTGTTAATGTCTAAAACTAATTTTCACACTAATAATTACAATAAATGAATAAAAAATTAATAAAAAATTCACGTCTATCATGAGCTATTTATTAATTTCATACTCACTTCATTATGTATAATGACCTTCTCTTCAGTAATATGTCAGCATATCTATTTTTATCTTTATCATGCACCAATCTCATCACAGAAGAAGACAATAAACTTAATCCAGCGATGGTATTACCACAAAACTGTAAGCAAAATTATATAATTATCATTTATCAATATCAAATGTTTTTATTTTAGTAATTCCCCTCTACTTTGACACTGGTATAATTCAGTACATCATATTGGTATGAAAATCCTGGTTTTGTACTATAAGACACCAGTTTTTGTCAGTTGGTTTACAGCTATGATAAATACCAGGAATATATTTGATATGTACATCCTCCAGATGTTACACTGTTTTATTCTGGACTGACTTCTGCTTTTTTCTGCTCTTTGGTTGGGTTGTTGTCTTTTTGACACATACCCTGTTTCCATTCTAAATTTTATTGGTATATTTGAGTTCAAAGCTGCATGGTTAATTTGAACTTGATTGTCATACAAGTTATGGGTTGATGGAGCATGTATCCAGCATGTTCATTTGCAAATAACTGTACCAATTCAGGAATAAGACAGTCAAGCATGTATTGTTCAAATGTTAATGCTTTGAACAGATTTGTTTTTAATAAATATGATCTTATTGCAGTATTAACTCAAAAATTTATAAAGCAAAATGTTTTTGCCTTAATTTTTTTTAGTGCTTTTAGCTAGAAAAAAAAAGAAAACAGATCTATCTTTGTTGCAGAGAAATGATTGCAGTGGAATAAAGTGCGACGGTTTGGGCCTTGGAGTTTGACGACAATGTTATACCGTAAGCATTATATCCATAATCGATTTGGCTACTCAGAAAAACCAATATTCTCTATTCTAATGCAACATCCTTCATTTTGATTGGATAACGTCACCAATTTTCATGGCATCAATTCACAATTGATGATATGAAAACGTACGCGCAAGCGCAGACAACATATGACAGATTTTAAATGTATGATTTGACGTTGTTTTCTGTCAGTTTTATTAGAATGGAGATAACAATATTGTATTTTAAGCTCAGACGGCATCAATTGGGGATTTGATGGTCGCATATACCCATTTACTGGCTCCGTGTTACAGTTATCTCCTAAATCTATGTTTAATATTTACAATATATACATGATATTCCTTGTACAACTGTTCACATTATTTAACACCAAATTTCGATGTTTCTCTTTCGAATAACAAAATCATACTACCGGTAATTAAATAAACGTTACAGTCTGAGATAATAAATTCCTAATTTTACGCTACTATTAAATCTAAAGCAAAAAACAAATAAAGTATTTAATCAACTAGCTGTGATGCAGACTACGATTTGAACTTTTCTTGACCTCAATAATATATAGAAATAAAATTTAAGGAAGCCATTAACCTAGACAATTTACTTGTCTGAGGATGTAAATTTATGTCAACAATTTAAAGACCATAATCTAATCAAAGGTCAAAACATTTGGTGATAAAGTTTGTAAAAAGTTATTTGCAATTCAAAATAGTGTATAAACGATCTCTACTCTATTCATTAATTCTAATTCAAAGATTATAATTATTCTAACAAAAATAATCTAAACTTAAAAATAATACTGACTTCTCACCAATCTTTATTTTCTATACTTTTTATACTTTATATATCATACTATTTATTCGAATAAAAAGATGTCTTATGAAAATGTTGTTGTAAGCCAAGCCTCAAATATCAATCTGATTTTTAATTTGAAGTAGAAATGCACATGACTACAAATGTTTTTGTTTGTTTGTCAAGTTTCTTTCAAAGCCTAAATGTTAACTTTAGGAGATTAACAACTTACAGAATGTATAAAGTTTTGTGAATGACAGACAGGTAAGAAAAAAACACAATTTTCCTCACCACATCATTCACATGATTCAGGTCAAACGTCACAAAGCTTCAAAGTGAGTAAAAGTAATCTGCCTTTATAAGATGAAATGCCTACCAACTCTCTATGATTCATGCCCACATGGACATGATCAACAACACTACAGTATATCTCACATACAAAGATTATCACAGATAACATATATTTAAAACTGAATACATGCTAACATACTTTCCTACATGTAAAAGCATCCAAAACAACCAATTAATACAATGTACAGTTGACTTACTATATTGTATCTGAGAAATGCTTCTGTTACGAAATTTTACTTTCATTTATTATAAAATTTTTAAAATAAGTCTTTAGTGAAATTAAACTCAAATTGATATTGTTTTTTATGAGCTTGGTAAACCCCAACAACATGCTGTTACTGAGTACAAGTATGTGTACGTAAGCCAAAAAAAAAAGAACTTTGAGAAGTTGATTTTAAATCATACCAAATCTATTTTATTGAATTCTGACAGATATCAACTTGTCAACTTGCACATTCTTACAAAATAACCATATTGTCAACTGTAAAATACTGACTAGTTTAACTCCATTCTATGGCATACAGTAGCTCTGATCTCACATTCTACTTGATCTTTTCTGCATTTAATTCTAATAAATTTCATCTACTTAATTGTACCTAAAAAAGGTTTAAATCTAAAATCTTAAAGATTTTAAAATACATAAACTGTTTCCCTCCACACTTCATTTTGCTTACAACCACCGAGTGAAAAATCAATATACCTTTAAAACAGTTACAAGAAAGCTTGCACATTTAAAAAGTTCCAGTTTTGTTGAAAATAAAAATCATAGAATGAGATACATGTAGCTGGAATAAATCCTTTGTGACAAAGCAATTTTTTAGCATTTTTAAAAGTTTTAAAACATGTTGAAGTTCAGTTCAAGAATCGTCATTTACAACTACGGTACATTGTACAATGTATATTGGGATTTCAGTTAAACAAAATACCAACATCAACTGTCCAACATAAACTTATCCATATTGCATCAATATGTGGTTTGATATATATAGTTTCTTTTCTAGGTCCAGAATATGTGTAAATATGTTAATTGTGGAACATCTTACCCTTACTGCATCAATATGTGGTTTAATATATCCTTTCTTTTCTAGGTCCAGAATATGTACATATGCTAACTTTGGAACCTCTGGTGGGAAAGCAATATCTTTAACTCTATCCAAAATTTTCTGGTTTTCATCAATCCATGTTTTTCTTTCTGTTTCTCTAAACCCATGGATTGCCTACATTTCAAATAACTGAATAAGTCAAAGCCCATGTCAAGTCACAAAAAATGTTTGTTGGAAGGAAAAAACAAACATTAACAAAGAATCACTAAATACATAGATATACATTTAAATCTTAGATAAACATAATGAAATAATTTATAAAAGATTTATTTTTTCTAAATGTTAGTATTTTTTCTTTAACTGTTATACATGTACCTGGTAAATGTATTAAAAACAATATTCTGAACAAAATTCACTGTCAGTTAAATGATGATCATCATAAACAAAACAAGTTGTCATATCTATGGGATTGATGAAAATATTGTGAAAATATAAACTCCATGGTTTCAAGAAATATATCCTTTGTATGAAAATATGGTAAATATAAAAATAAGAAGATGTGGTATGATTGTCAATGAGACAACTCTCCACCAGAGACCAAATGACATAGAAGTTAAAAACTATAGGTCAACGAACAGCCTTCATCAATAAGCAAAACCCATACCGCATAGTCAGCTATAAAAGGCCCTGAAATGACAAATGTAAAACAATTCAAACAAGAAAATTAACGGCCTGGTTTAAATTTATGACTACAGAACCATGAATGAAAAACAAATATGATATACAGCAACAAACAACAACTACTGAATTACAGGCTCCTGACTTGAGACAGGCACATACAAAATGTGACAGGGTTAAACATGTTTGCAGGCGTCCAACCCTCCCCTAACCTTCATGTATGACAGTGTTGTAACAGCTCAACATATGAACAAACTATAAAAATCATTTGAAAAGGGCTTAACTCATCACATCAAATCAATGCTGAAAAACAAGTAACAAGAAGACAGACCAGATGTGGCAAGGTTTTTATACATCCCTATATATATATATATAGCTACAACATAAAAGACACTAAGTAAAGATATGAGCATGATGATTAAATTATAATTTTTTTTCTCCTATCAATTTTGTAACTTTATTCTTATCTTGTGACCCTCAGTCCAAGTACCTTTTCCATTTTGAAATGTATAATTTAAATATAGTTGACAATTAATGATCAATTATTATCAATTGATTCTATCATTGAGCCGTTACAATCAATTTTTTTAAAGTCATCTCTGACTCATCTGGTTTTGTATAAATTGATAGTCGAAAATACTGTAGTCTGTACCTTAAAAAAAAATGTGACGGATGGACAGATACATTGTAGGGGTAAAACAGTTTACATTTGTACTCTCCTTCAGACACTTTACTATCAATCAGTACACATCCAATGGATTTAGTGCAAAGACAATATATATATATATAACAGTTTGCATGTACAGACCCTTCCGTTCGGGGTTTGGTATCATACCGTCATAAAATATATGAGAAGAACATAACCTGTATCATGTCAACAACTCGTTTTAGAATAAATGTGTTAATTTCCGATGCAAAGACCCTATGAGTGAATCAATATTAATTCCAAAATATGCCATCTTTAATGACCTGAAAAGTTGACAACAGTATCGACTATCGTACCACATCTTATTTTTATATTTACATTGTCCCAGTGGTCATATTCATATCTAAGCCTCCTCATATATGGGTCAACTTCATTAAATAGCGACATTTCTTCGTGTTCACTTAGGAAATCTTCTTCTACTAACATATTCGTACGAATTTCTTTCTCTAAAGATATATCCTTAGTATCATAATAAGTCGTTATACTACGTGCAATTGTTTTATTCACGCCTTCGTTTGTCCGCATTGAAAACAGATGAGTCAATTTGACTTTTGTAAAAGACTTAAGCAATATGTTCAATTTCATTTTCCTTTCGAAGTTTCGTAGCATCTTCTTCTACTTTAACCATTTAAATACATTTGGAAAGTCGAAATTTGTTGACATGCACCTCCATCTTCGGATCTGTATCAGCGCTACGCTTAATGTAAGGAAATCTACGAATATATATCAAGCGTAAAATTGAACAAGATAAAACCGGAAGTAAACTATATTTCCGTTTCCCACAGCAACCAGTATATACATCGTTCATTGAAAAGATACAAGAAAGCCCAAGAAAGGTAACTAATGTTCCCATTTTACTACAACTTTTTGTTAAAAATGTATAAGTGCTGTATTAAACATTGTATTGTTAGAACAATCATTCAGATACATTTGGTTGTCACCAAAACTGAAATCAAATTATCAATGAAACAAAACTTTGTTTCTCAGTGTGATATGTTTCAGCATATTGCAAAACTGTGCAACCGAACTGTACCATTCGTTCAAACAAGGCAGATTTAATTAAAAACTGCTGTTAACTAAAAGAACCTGTCAGGACATTTTTTGAATTGACCGCAGTTCTATTTTACAATCACTGAATCAGGGCAGTTGCACTACAATCTTTCACATTTAAAGCATACTGTGTCCACTGTTATTTTTTATCTATGTCAATGATGTTCAATTGACTCAGATTGTAAAGTTTTGATATATGCAGATGATACTGCAATTTTATTTTCCCATATAGACTCTGGGGGTCATCTCGCATAAATTATCCAGAATGCTGGAGTCATGCCATGATTGGTTAACAGACAATAAATTGTCCCTACATTTGGGAAAGACAGAGAGTATAATTTTTGGTCCTAGTCGAAAACTTCGGTCTCTAATACCGGATGATTTTGCTGTCTCCTGTAATGGTATTAATATTGAATCCAAAACTTTTGTAAAATAATTGAGAATAATAATTGATCAGTTTCTGACTGGTGATTTTATTGTCAACTCTATAGTGAAAAAAGTCAATCAAAGGCTTAAGTTTTTATATAGAAACAAAGAGTGTCTAAATTTTCAATCTAGGAAAACATTGTGCTCTTCTCTGATTCAATGTCATTTTGATTATGCATGTGCATCCTGGTATGAATGTATATCAAAACAAATGAAGAATAAACTTCAAGTGGCATAAAATAAGGTTGTGAGATTCATTCTGCAATTACATCATAGAAAGAGTGTGACATATATTGAATTTGAGAAATTGTTTTTTTTAAATATTAGTAACACAACTAAGACTCGATCATGTTTTCAACATTTTTAACAATATATGCCCAAATTATTTGCATACTAATTTTGTTAGAAAGAAACATCTTTCAATACAAAACAGAAATAGTTAAAAGTTGCTCACAAAGAAATATAATTTTAAAGTACAAGTGAAAAAATTTTTGATGGATAAATTTAAATCCACCTTTAATAGTGAATTTGTTTTTTTATTAATTTTACTGAGGCTTTGACCATTTATCTGTGATAATTTTTAATGTTTTTTGTTATTTTTTATGTATCAACCTTTGGTGTGAACTGGAAGTCTCTTCTTAAAAGGACCTCACTGGAAATAAGTTTCAATAACTTTTGTGGGCCATCCTAGGGTATTAGGCTGCAGTGATAATCTAGTGTATATAATTCACTCATTATAACCTAGTCTATATAATTCACTCATTATAATCTAGTCTATTATCAAAATATCATGACAATTTTCATAATTTTATTTTTTAAATTATAATTTTTAGTACACATGTAAATCATTTTAGTGTTTGTAACTATTCATGTCTAGTGCAATTTCTATATGTCATTTTAATTTATTTGTGTCTGTCAAATTCATGCCTTTTATCTTGAATAAATATATATATAAAGATGCAGCCTTTGCAGGTCTAATCTCTTGTACGTAAAGTTATTATTATTTATCTGCTGTACTAATAAAAGGTATGAGCTGGTTAAAATTAGAATCGAGGAACTGGAGAATCCAATCTACAAGATGTTTTGTTTTTGTTTCCTCTAATTTTTACCATCTAGTTTATTAGCCTAAAGTTTTAGTTGGCTAAATTGTTGTTTCCAATCCTTGCTTCTTTTATGATTATATTATACATATATATATTCAATCTTGTTTTTGTAACAAGGGCACTAGAGAATAAAGTGGTGAGGTATTTCCTGGTATGATATATTTTGTTTACCATTTTGTCACTTGTATCAGTGACTTCAGTATATATTTAATAAGGAAATTTTGCAGTATTCATATATCTAGATGTTGTAATAGTCGTATTATAATTTTGGAAAGTATAGAGGATCATTATTTGTCATTTACTTTTATCTCATTTTTCTGTTCTAGTCTGGAAATAAAAAGAATGACCTGCTAAATATCAGGATTTTATTTGATATTTTCAGGAATCTGAGACAAAGCTGTCAAGATGGCAGCAGCCAACTTTGATGCCAAGCACATTTTTGGTTTGAAACCAGGTGTAGCTGGAAATGTTTGTTACCATGATGAACAGACAATTGTGTATCCATCTGGAGCCAACTGTGTTATGTACAACATTGACCAGAAGACACAAAAATTCATTTTACCAACAGAGAAGAGTGAAGGAATGACAGCATTGGCAATAGGTCCAAACAGAAGATATGTTGCCATAGCTGAAAAGGGAGAAAAACTTGTAATAAACATTTATGACTTGCACAATAACAGAAAGAAGAGATCTTTAGTGCAACCACCAGATATTAAAGCCACTGAATATGTCAGTCTTGCATTTTCACCTGATTCAAAATATCTTATTGCACTGACAGGGAAGCCAGATTACACTTTACTTTATTATACCTGGGAAAAATCTAAAGTTTTGGCTTCAACAAAGACAACCAATCCACAAACCAATAATCCAGTGTATCAGGTATTTATAATCAATGTGTTGCTTTAATGAATGTATTTAGTAAGAGTAGAATTTAGATTTGTTAGGCATCTTTAGGATTAGGTATGTCTGCAAAGTTTTTACACATGTATAATCTGTCATGAAGTGATAATACAAATATATTCAATTGTACACTGGTCTATTCAATTCTCAAATTCAATTCTTAATACTAAGAAATTTGAAGTAGGAGCATTTTAAATTTAATTTTAGGGAAATAGGCTGTAGTGATCCTAAAGTATTAAAACAACCAAAAAGAATACAATATAAACAGATTTGATTTATTTTTTTAGCTGGGTTTATAACAAAGAAGGTTCAGTTTTAAAATGCAGTATTTAATATTGTTAATTACTTTGTGAAAAAATGGGAATTTCCCTTTAATATCCCATTCTTCACCAAATCAATTGTACCATGAATGACCTTAATTTATATCTATATGTATACACAGTGAAGTAGTACATTTGTATTTAGTTGGAAAAAGAAATATAATATTAATCATTCCTTAAATCTCTTGAAAATATTTTGCCATCAGTCTTATTTTTGTCACCTTTTCAGGCTAGCTTCAACCCACAAGATAATACACAACTGTGTGTAGTTGGCAATGGAATATTTAGAAACTTCCGCTATAGTGAGGGTAACCTCAAAGCTTTCAATTTCCAAAAGATGGAACCACAGAATTTCTTATGCCATGCTTGGGTGTCAGAAGAAAGAGTTGTGGTTGGAACTGATACTGGGAAGTTGTTGTTGTTTGAAAATGGAGAAATAAAAAATGAATTCAACATTGGGGCATCACTCCAAGACAAGTAGGTTTTCCTGAAAAATTCATCAAATTCTGCATGATATTTCATAAAAAAAACATTGAATTGTTACAATCTTTTATGCTCAAAAGGTTAAACATATAGTTTTCCCTATTTTTTAACAGATTTAAAAATAGTTTTTGGTACACTATTACCTCTAATTATAAATATTGGTTTTACAATTTAAGATTAACATAAACCAGTATATTACAGAACCAAATATTTACTGCTATCATTCATTTGCACTAATTACAGTTTTTAAAATATATATCAAAAGCACAATTTATTGAACTATAAAAAGTGAAATACATATATGGTTAAATGTTACTGACATATATAAATTATAATACAATAATTTATTTATATTTATTTAGTCATGCCTTTTACAAGCAGGTACAATTTAACAATACTTATGTATTAAAATGTGTAAAAGTCATTCATGGGAGGCCATTATTTATATACAAAAACAAGTTACTTAGAAAAGCCTCAAACCATGAAAGAAAACAGTTATCTACATGTATATAAAAATCTACAACTCACTAAAGAACATTCAGATGATGTGGCAGCAAGTTTGTATATATATATATATTGATTTAACTGTTTTAGGAAGCAGGCAGATGATGATTCCAGCATTGTAGCCATTCCACAAGTGACTGCTATAGTTGCCTATTCTAAAGGATTTGCCTGTGCCTGTGGTCCTGGAACTGTACATCTGTATGAAAAGACAGATGATAAAGATTTGTTCAAAAAGTCCAAACAAATCAAGGTATTCATCCTCAGATAATATTATTCATATACTGGGTAAATGATATCATAATGCTAGTTTAGCGAAATTGATTTAAATTACAATCACAAAATTATTATTTATTTTTGTTTTATTTTAATTTTATGTTTATATATTTATTCATTTGTATTGAAAAATTTGTGTGTGAGTTGTTATGTGAAATATTTTCCTTGTTCCTAATAATTATTCAGTAAATGGTTCTAAATAATTTTTACATGAAACTTGAAATTATTTTACAGATTCCACAAGATAATTTCAGTTCTTATGCTACTAAGGCTCAACAGCAAATAATTACATGTTTAGCCATCAGTCCATCAGAAGAAACTCTTGTTGCTAGTACAGACCAAAGTCAGATATATCATATACAGTTACCCAGTGCAGATCTTGGGAAGGTAATTCAGATTCTGGAGTTAACATTTTACATTAGTATGCTTAATTTATAAAGGAGAACCAGCATAAAGCTTTGAAATTGTTGATTGTTTAGGATTTCTGACAAATACAGCTTTGATTGACAGACAGAATTTTAAAGTGAATGTCCTCATGGGAAACACCATGTTGATAATGATCTTTGCAACTGAATGGCACAGTTTAATTCTAATGTTTTATGATTGTTTTGGATATTATTTAATGTACATAATGAACATATATACATGGTATACAAATGTTGTGTGTTTCCATTCTTATTTTCAATGTATGATTCATTTAATTATCTGATTATTATTTTTTGTTATTTGTTTCAGAGTGAAGGTGATGTTGTCCAGTTTGAAACACTTTCTCAATCCTTCCATAGTGGACAGATTTTAGGTGTTGATATTTGTATCCGTAAACCACTTATAGCCACATGTTCTTTAGACAAGTCTGTTAGAATATGGAACTATGAAAAATGGTATGGTTATTGTGTTTAGTGTAAAAACTACCATAATAGTTCATGTTATTTAGTAATATTTGTAAATAATACTGTCATGCAGACTTCAGAATATTTTTACTTTACTTCTATCTAAGTTTCAAAGAGAAGTTTATAACCTAACAGTTTGCTCTTTGGTCGGGTTGTTGTCTCTTTGACACATTCCCCGTTTCCATTCTCAATTTTATTTAGTTACCCCCTTTCTATTTCATACAATTTTTAAAAGGGGAGATAACCACTTTTCAATACATAGCATTTCTGTCAATATTAACAGTTCATACAACCCAAAAGCATAAAACTTTTTTATTCAAGTTTATGTGTAATATTATATACTTAATTGTATATATACTTTTGATTATTGTTATATACGTTATACTTATTTAATTTTAATTTCAGTAATTTAGAACTGTATAAAGAATTTCCTGAAGAGTTGTTTAGTATAGCCCTCCATCCCTCTGGTCTGTATATCCTTGTTGGTTTCAATGACAAACTGAGGTTACAGAACCTATTGATAGATGACATCAGGACATTCAAAGAATTCAACATTAGAGGCTGCAGGGAGGTAAAAATTTTTAAGTGTAAATTTTGTATGACTTAATAGTCAGTTATACAACCCTATTCCTACCATATGATTATGTAGACATTTGAATTAGAATTGAAAGAAAGAGAAATTGACCATACCATAATTTTGTGTTTGATTATAGGTTGTTTTTTTTTTTTAAATAAATTGTATTTGTAAATAAATTTTATGAGATTAAAACAGATAAATAAAATTACTTTTTAAAACTTGTCTTGTGCTTAGTTGACATCATTTATCCTCCAAATGGAACCTTATTTTTGAAAGAAATGTAATTTTTTGTTAACTGTATTCTAAATAAATCTACAATTTATACTATGATATTTTACAGTGTACCTTCAGTAATGGTGGCCATCTCTTTGCTGCTGTTAGTAACAATGTCATCCAGATCTTCTCCACTACAACCTTTGAAGATGTTGCCACCCTCAGAGGTCACAATGGCAAGGTCAGATCTATAACATTCAGTAATGATGACACCAAGTTAGTGTCGTGTGGCATGGAAGGAGCTGTTTATGAGTGGAACATCTTTACATCTAAGAGAATTCGTGAGAACGTGGAGAAGGCCTGTAGTTATACTGGGGTTTCTGTAACAGCAGACAACAAAACAATATATACAGTTGGAACAGATAAGAGAATTAAAGAACTGGCTGATTTTGAGGTAAGATGGTCAGTCAAGGCTATATATATATGATGACATATATTTCTATACTTGATATTTAAATTATTGTCCAGTATTTAAAAAAAAGATTAAATGCTGACCTGTTTGCCCTTTATACTTTTATCACACTGTAAGAGAAAATACCCATACATGCATATACTATTAGATTTTACTTGCTTTTGTACAGTTCTGTTGTGGAACATTTTAAAATTTTGTAAGCATTTCATATTATGTCTCAAAAAGACTTCATGTACCATAATCAAAATTCGACTTCCTGGTACAGACTTTTAAATCTGCTTTAATGATGAAAAATTAAAAGCATAAACTCTTATATACTTATCTTTTTAATGTTGATTCAATCTTTTTATATATTGAAAGAGATGTCGTTTAAATAAGTAAGAATTTTGAAATAAATATCCAATTGCTTTTCATTTATAGGTTGTAAGGAACATACCAGTTGGTGATATATCACTTACAACAGTTGCCTTGTCACATTCTGGTCGTATGTTGTTTGGAGGTACAGCCAGGGGATCTGTTTGGTCATTCAAATTCCCATTGACTATGCCTGTTGATGGTAAACCTACATGGGAAGAGAAACCAGGTCATGGCATGGCTATTACTAAGGTGAGTTATAATGGATATTTATTGTTTTAAAGTTATCTTTGGGAATTTTTATGAATTGTCTCCCTTCTCAATAAATATGTGTCATTAATATGCGTGTTCCATAACTTCTGGGTTTTATCTTCCGTTCTTATTCACAAGGAATAGTTATTACAATCAGCTTCAAATTAAATCCTACAATTGCTCCCTTCTAATGCTATATTACTAACAATTTTGTTTTCTGGTTTAGATGAAGATCACTTATGATGACCAGTTTTTGGTGACTGTTTCTGAAGATGCCTGTGTCATGTTATGGAAGCTAAGAGACCAAGAAGCAAGAGGAGTATCTAAACGTGATAAAGATATTGGATGGACCGAAGAAATTCTCATTACTAAGAGTGATTTGGAAGATAAGGTATATTGGCAACTTATTTTTACAATTATGTCTTATTATATTCTATAGCTTCAATACTCTGCAAGTTCTTTCAAGTGATAAAGGTTTAAAAAAAAAATATTTTCATTTACTTTCATTTCTCTTAATTCCATATTTACAGATAACAATTAAAATATTGGAATATATTTCAGTCATTTACTAGATAGATTGTCTTGATGTATATTTTTCTTGCAAATCAATAATGAGATTATCTACCATAGCCATTCATCAAATGACTTTATTTTAACAGAACAACCAAATGGCAGAGTTAAAACAGAGGGTACAAGAATTACAAACAGAAAATGAGTATCAGCTCAGGTTGAAAGACATGAGTTACAATGAGAAAATCAAGGAATTGACTGAGAAATTCATTGAAGAAATGGAGGCACTGAAAACCAAAAACCAGGTAAATTTAATGTACTATCTTAAGAATCTTATATATGTAATGTCTATTATGTAAATCAAGGAATATTTTGTATACAACACAAATAACTGTTTTATGATATAATGTTGGGTTAAATATTGAAATTGTCTTCCGCCAAAATAGACAGAATTAGACAATTAATTTTTTTCTAAAATACTATGGCTATATTTTGAGGACCGAAAGGTTTTTTTCCAAGGCCCTACAATGTGATGTCTGATTTGAACAATATACAGCCAATTAAAATGTTGAATAGTTTTATGCTGGAAAAGATCTTAATAAACTTTCCATACATACAGGTGCTGAAAACAGAAAAAGATAAAGAAGAAGCTAGACATGAAGAGGAACTGACAGAAAAACTAGAAGCTCACTCTAGAGAACTTCAGGATTTAGGTAACATAATTGTACATTATTTATTTGATTTTATTTTTTACAAAAAGCATCAACTTTGAAATAATTTTATCAAGTATAATTATTATATCTTAGTTCATGTAGTCAAGTTTGTTCATATTTCATAAACAAATTTTCCCATTACAAATTAATGCAGGATTCTTGTTTTAGACTTAATACATGAGGTAATAACTCTCTACTTTTTTTTTGCAGAATCTGCCAATAACCAGAAACTTATGTTAGAGTATGAGAAATTCCAAGATATGCAGGCAAAAATGAACAGATTACAGGAGGAATATGACCGTCGCCTCCAAGAGAAGAATGATAGTCGTGAGAGAGCTCTACAAGAACTGACAGAATACTTTGAAACCAGAGTTCAAGACATGACTGCTAAGTTAGAACAAGTATGTCAATTTTAAACTAAATATTAGAAAATAAGGAGATGTTGTATGATTGCTAATGTCATCTTGATAACATTTAGCATTACAGTAGGTGGTAGTAATATTACAATGCTTTATTTTTTTTACATCTTTATTATGTTGAATTAGTGTCACTTGATAATTATACAACCAATCATTATCTCAGTAAAAAAAAAGAATTAATTCTTAAGCTTATTAAATAAAAAGCACCTAAAAAGTGTGCTACAATTCCTTAATACTAAAATATAATGACATTTCAGGCACACGATGAAGCTCAACAAGCAGCCAGAGAATACGAGGAAACTAAGAAACAGATAGAGGAAGATTCTGACAGAGAAATCTTAGACATCAAAAATAAGTATGAGATGGCACTGAGAGAAGAAAAAGATAAACACACCAAACTCAAGGGAGAAGCTGGTATTACACAGAAGAAGGTATTTATATATATATATTAAACTTGTTTAATATAACATAGTCCTTACTCAACCAAATTGCATTGAGGCCAAAAAGGCAGTTGTATATAATATGTACATGTTTGAATACTTTAAAGATTTCTTTACTTCAAAAGCAGTGAGTAGGAGTTTAAAATATTTTAGAGAGCTTAATATTTAAATGCTTTAATGTAAATATCGTGTTAAGCAGCTGATGATCTTTACTGTGCTCATGTAATTTGTCGACTGGAATTAAATCTCAGTGCTTTTTTTGTCATGTATAGAATTTGTTTATGATGGCAGATCATTGAAAGTCTCTGTTGAATTTATATTTATAGCTTTTCTAAAATTGGGGTAATTTAGAGGGTGATATATTGTATTTAAACCTGTCTGTTGAAGTTTTATGTTGACCTTTTGATTACTTTTGCTTTTTTGTTATGTAAATTACTGTCTCATTGACAATTTATGACAATAAAATCAATTCCATTTCAGTATGAAGGTGTACAAAAGGAAATTAAAGAACAGAAACAACAGATCAAGACAATACAACAAGAGAACAAGAAACATGAGAATACAATCCAGAATATGACAAAAGAAATTGAAAATCAAATTAAAGAAAAACAAGAGAGAGATGATACCATTCAGGATAAGGTAAGTTTCAAAGGATGATTTTAGGTTGTTAGTATATTTTAGTGTCCTTCTGCAATGTTTTGTTTTGAATTTAAGCAATAATGTTAGTAAAAGATGTTTAACATTGAAATACAAATGTTATGAAATTATTTAATTGAAATATTTTGTCTTAGAAATAGTATACAAGAACAATTGTAAAGTTTATTTCACCGACCAATTGTAAGTTACTGTTATAATGTTCCTAATTTGCTGAGGAAATAAAGGAAGCTTTGTTTAAACTTTTTTGATAGTAAAATTATATATACTCTTTCTACAGGAAAGAAGAATATATGATCTGAAGAAAAAGAATCAAGAATTAGAGAAGTTTAAGTTTGTGTTGGACTACAAAATAAAAGAACTAAGAAAGCAGATCCTACCAAGAGAAGAAGATATTAAGAAAATGAAGGAGCAAATACAAGAGGTATTGTTTTTAACTGTTTATAACAGAATGCAATAGAATTGTATGTCATTACATGTAAAAAAAAACTAGAGATCACAAGTCAACAATTGTATGTAAATTTTATCAGTTTTAAGCAACATTAAATAAAGATGCATAATACATTTTGCATGAAGGAAAGGGACACACCTTACTTGAATAGGTGCTGTGTCACTTACTTTCTGTAGTCTGAAAAACTACAAAATCTGAAAAAGATTCTTATTATTGTTTACTATTTCTTCAAATGTAGCACATGCTTTAAAATGATAACTGGTTTTCACACCATCAGAAAGTTTGTGACAGCACAACATGATAAATATATTAGCCAATAGAAAAAAACACCTGATTAAATGAAATACAGACTTACCAGTACATTTGTAATCATAATATTTAGAAGAAGTGGATTCCAATGTATACCAATCATTAAACTTCAAAACATCATATTTATTCTAAAATCAAAATGCTGTATAAATACATGATCATACCTACCTTATTGAAGATTGAATAATATATATATATAATCTATAAATGTTCCTAATCCAAATATTAATATTTATAGATGGAAAGTGAATTGGAGAGATTCAACAAACAGAACACACAACTAGAACTGAGTATCAAGGAGTTGACACAAAAACTGAAAGCTACAGATAAGGAAATGCACCAGGAGAGACAAAAGGTATAATTGAATTGTGTAAAAAATTTATCTTAAAGATGTCCTGTGCTATCAAATTGTAAAATCAACAGAAATAGAAAGAATGTTTAATCAGATCATAGTGCAATAAAGATTAATTACTAAATTTAGTATTAATTTTTGAAATGTAAGTTGTTTAAAACAAGTTGAAGCATAGTGAATTTTTCGACAGCTAAATGAATATTGATATTAAGGGGAGTTAATTAAAAATATGTGTTAAAATTCTTTTTTTTTTAATAGGTGCGAGATGTTGAAGCAGTTGTGAAAAGATTTAAGACAGATTTACACAACTGTGTTGGTTACATACAAGATCCAAAGATGTTGAAGGAGAGCATCAAGGCATTGTATTCCAAACATGTGCAAGAGGACATTGTAAGTGTTTATTATAAAGCTTCACATGTGCAAGAGGACATTGTTAGTGTTTTTTATAAAGCTTCAAAACTACATTATCAAAATATTAGTATGGAAGCAAACTATTACTCGGCTAGAAAACTACAAATTAAAAAAATTGTATGAAGGCAAACTCTGTTGAGAATACTTTTTACAAAATTTGCATAATGACAGGATGTCACTACATTAGTGCAAGCTGTTTCTTTTAATCTTAGAAGGTTTGCATCTATTTAGAGTTATATATACAATTTCTCATCTTGAATGCAACCACACACTTATTAAAAATGTGAGATAATAAAGACACACAGTACATTAGATTAGAATGAGTATTTACAAACTAGCATTTTATCCTTATTCAGCTATGAAGTGCACACATTACTAAAGTGATCAAATACATGACTTTTTTTTCAATCACACAAGTTTTTCAGTGCTTCATTGAAAACACATTTTATTTATGTTTACAAACATCTGTTTCAGACTGAATCAGCCAGTGTAGATGCTGACATCCAAAAAGAATACAGTAGACAGAGAGAACATCTTGAAAGATCTGTAGCATCCCTACGTAAAAAGTTAGCCAAGGATTCCGGTATCCACAGAGCAGACAATGTTAGGATTATGCAGGTATTATATCCCGATATTATAATTCAAATACTTTACATTTAAAATTTGCCATAAAGAATAATCAAATCTAAGTATAAAAAATATTTAATAAAAGGTGAAATTAAATGATTAAATGTAAAACCTGTGGACACTTTAGACCTTTTCTGTGGTATGGTAGACATTTTGAATTGAATCATTTGTTTGCTGTCTTCTAAATTTTTTTAAAACTTTTAGTAATGTTTTTATTCTATTTCTTTAGGAAAATGTATCCTTAATCAAGGAAATCAACGACCTGAGACGAGAGCTTAAAATAGCCAGAACAACAATACATGACTTAGAAGCAGCTATGGGACTTCATAGTAAGAAGGCAAAGAAAGATCCAAATTCTGTTCAGACGATATCATTTAAAGCACCATCAGTAATGGCTGAGCAGGAGCTTGAAGAGAAAAATAAAATCATTGAAATGCAGAGAATGGAGATAAGGAGACTAAGAGAAGAATTTGATTCAGGATCAAGACCACCATCTAGACCCTCATCTAATCCAAAACTACCACCTATGGAAGTTGCATAAACATTGTATGGAAATTAAGAATTTATTCTACTGCCGATTTAATGCTACACTACTTAATGAAAGATGAATTATTTTGGTCAATTTAAAAAATTTTGGGATATCTATTTGGAATAATTTATTTTTAGAAATTTACTTTTCTTAAGTTTTTCTAAGCTCTACCATTGTTCCAGAGGGTGGACCATTTCAGACTGTGATAATATTTTAATGACTTTTATATATATTTATTGATTTATTGAGTGCTAAAGCTCTCACAATATTTTGTGTGATAATCTTTTTTGTAAATGTGTAAATATAATAGAAGTAAATGTTATATCTTATTTGTACAATCGAATAAAAAAATAAAAGTAAATCTTTGTATTTACTCAGAATGCTTATTTACATGGTGAAGGAACTCACCTACAAAGGAAGCTTCAACTGTTCCAGGGACCAAGTGGTTTACCACATTTAGCTAGCTAAGGTATTCCAAGCTGTTGGCTGAATACTGCTGCTCAAGAAAGTAACTCGTGGATGGAATTTAAGAGAGACTACTAAAGATCTGTCATCATAATAAAAATAAAATGCTTTGCTGAGCGCAGCCTAATACGACCGCAGAGGTCGAACCCGGAACAGTTGGGACAATTTTTTGACATAAAATAGGTTTCTGACACAAAATAAATGTGGTCAAAGATCTTAAAAATTTGAAATGGGACATTTTACCTAGTATGGTCTGATATCCAAAATCTAACAACATGCATATAAAAAAACACCAAAAATTAATTTTGGACTCTTCAAACCTTAATATTGACTAATTTGAAAACAGGGCCCAAAATAAAAAATCTAAATGCACAATAAGATTCAGCATATCATTGAGCCACAATAATTCAGTTTTTGATAAAATCAAACAAAGTTTAATTTTGGACCCAATATCTGAAATAGTAATACAAGGTTAGAACCCCCAAAAATTAAAGACTTAATTTAATCCCATTGAAATTGGTTAAAAGATTTGTATTTATTTTCAATTGAAGATTTCTTGCTATTGCACGATTGATTGTTGGTTGCTTAATGTCCAGTGGCAAATATTTCATGCATATTCAGGACGAAGCTATTGCACGATATTGTGCTATTGGGCAATACTGTGCTGTTGCACAATACTTAGTTAATCTGTTATATATAATAATTTACACACCCTGTTTGGTGTGTATCTCCTGCCATATCAGTATTTGTTGCTTTTATATATAAATCAGAAATAATCAATGTAAAAATGGAAAATTTTTGAGAAAAAAAAAAAAAAATTATGAAAAAAAAATCCCCCCCAAAAATTTGAAAAATCTTGAAGAAAAAAAAATGAACCCCCCAAAAAAGATTTGGAAAAAATCCCCCACCCGCCCACCCCAAATTTTAGTTGAAATTTTTAAGATTATCTTCTTTTCAGGAAAAATGTACAATTTCAGAGAGTTCCATAAACTTTAACTCAAGTTATTGTCTGGAAACTAGAAAAATGCTTCTTTTTGGCCCCTTTTTTGCCCCTAATTCCTTAACATTTGGGGCAATTACCCCCAAACTCAATCCCAACCTTCCCTTTGCGGTATTGAACCTTCTGGTAAAATTTCATAGAGATCTATTCATTTAAACTAAAGTTATTGTCCAGAAACCAAATGTGTCTTTTTGCGATCTTGCTAATGCCCAGTAATTGTCTTGTTGTTTTTACAACCTTTTGTCAGGTAATGAATGGTAGAATATGAGGAAGACTTTACCAGTTTTATGTAAAATTTTTGAAATACTGGTAATACAGTTTACTGCTTGTTTATTTTCAATAGTTTGTAGCAGCTATTAACAAAAATGCAACTTTTAGTTTCACTGAAGTTGGTGGTCGGTCTGTCTAGACATAAGGTTGGAGTTCTTTAGTACATCATTGCCTTCCAGCAACTGTCACAATGAAGAAAAAAACAACAATTAAAGTGTTGTTCCATGGATATATTGGTTAATTGTTAGTGATTCATGCACATTCAACCCAAATCTTATTCACCTATTTATGACCAGAGTTTCCTCCCTTATATTGTAGCTGTAGCTGAATATATACCTTTGTACCATGGTATGTATGAAGTGTATGTTCCTTCTTATTTGGCATTTGTGGAATGATTGTTCATTTGATTATTTCTCATGCTTCTATCATTTCGTTATTTCAGATAAATTAGTTGTAAATTACATCTATTTTAATTGCCCATTTCCATCACATTTTTTGTTATAAAACTTTCCTATAACCCCTTATTGGCTATATGTTTGAAGATGTTAAAATTAGTAGTCTTTAGTCACACAATAACTGACAGATCTTGAAGGAAGACTTTACCAGTTATAAGCAATTTACATAAATTGATTACTTCTGCATATGTTCCTCAAATATACTTGTTATATGTAGCAGTACTCCATAATTTTACAGTACCATTTAAGTAATATGATAGACCTTGCTATAAGGTGCATTCAGTTCATTTTTCAAGGCCAACAACAATAATAGTGTTATTCCTTGAAATTCAAGGGTATAGGGTTATTTGCTATTATTTCATAAGATTTCTGTTTCATGCACATCCACTACATAAATATTACAATGATAACTACCGAGAGGTTATGACTGAGAACATGCACATGAGCATGTTGTAGAGTTAAACTGGTTCCAGGTTTTTGTGTCCATAAGTGGAATAACAAAAGCTACATAGAGCCTTTTTGTAATTTTGATAATGCAAATGTTGAAATTAAAATAGCAATACTTAAACATGTAAGTTATTCAAAGTCAATGAACCATGACTGAAGGTACATGGCTAAACAATCTCTATAGAAATGAGATGTGCCAATGCTAATACAACTGCATACCAAATACCATTGACTTATCATAAGTCGTTCCCTTTAAACAAACCTAAACACAAACATTAATTTGTAAACTATGTAAAAGTTTCAAAGTCAATGAACCATGATGAGGGGGTGGGGCTATATAATCTCCATGGAAACGAGACTTGCAATGCCAATAAATTTGCATACTAAATATCATTGACTTAACATGAACGGTTCATCTTAAACTGATCTAATCACAAACTAAAACATGTAAACCAAGAAAAAGTTTCAAAGCCAAATATTCTCCATGGAAATGAGATGTGCTAATGCTTATACAACTGCATACCAATTTACATTGGCCTACCACCAGTGGTTCCCCATAAACTGACCTAATCACAAACTAATACATGTAAACTAAGCAAAAGTTTTAAAGTCAATAGACTATGACTGAGGGGGCAGGGCCAAATAATCTCCACGGAAATGAAATATGCCAAATCTTATACAACTGCATACCAAATATCATTGACCTACCACTAGTGGTTCACCATAAACTAGACCTAATCACAAAATAATACATTGTTGACGCCACCGCCGCCGGAAACAGCATACCTATTCTCACTTTTTGACTCCGTCAAGGCAAGACAACAAACCAACAATGAAGTCTCAATAAACAAATCAACACCTAAGTAGTACAAACAAACCAACACCAAAGTCTCAATAAACAAAACAACACCAGTCTTAATAACAAACCAACACCAATGTCTCAATAAACAAAACAACACCAGTCTCAATAACAAACCAACACCAAAGTCTCAATAAACAATACAACACCAGTCTCAATAACAAACCAACACCAAAGTCTCAATAAACAAAACAACATCGAAGTCCCATAAACAAACCAACGACAAAGTCTCAATAACAAACCAACACCAAAGTCTCAATAAACAAAACAACATCGAAGTCGCATAAACAAACCACTGACAAAGTCTCAATAACAAACCAACACCAAAGTCTCAATAAACAATACAACACCAGTTTCAATAAACAAACCAACGTCAAAGTCTCAATGGACGAACAAAAAAGTCTCAACAAAAAAAACAGCACTAAAGTCTCATTATACAAAAATCATTAACTGACAGTGACAAACAAATTGGCTTATAAACAAGTATCAGGGTTGTGAATGCTCATCCCTCCTGTTATTATATTTAATATCAGTTGTAATAATAATAATAATAATAAAATTCTTTATTTAACTAAGGCAACACATTTAACAATGGCATGTTAATCTTCAATGAGGCCTTCAAATTAATCTTCCATGTAGAACAATTAAAGTGTATTAGAAATAGAGGCTCTAAAGAGCCTGTGTCACTCGCCTTGGTCTATGTGCATTTCAAACAAAGGACACTCTCCAACATTGTAGACGAGAATAAACTTCATGGCAAAATTCTCTATTTTGTTGATCTTGTATTACTGATCTTTTAGTCTGTTTAGTTTCTCTCTATCTTCTTTAGTTTTTGCTCAAAACACAAAAGATGGTAACAAAAATCCTCATTTAAGGGCAATCACTCCTATGAAAAGTGACAGTCTACTAACTATATCCGCAAAATTTGACTTTTTAATAGATCTTGCCTTGCTGATCATTTTTGTGATTTAAAGTGTTTATTTATCTATTATAATTTAAATCATATAAGGCATAATGGAAAAAAAATGTTTCTCTCTAAATATCATAGTTTGCATGATAATAGGCAAAAATGAAAAAAATGGTAAAATTTGTCATTTATGGGAAGAAACTCCTATAAGAATTTGTCTAACAGTTTTGACGTATATGGACAATTGGTAAAGCTCATTATTCTGAACATTTTTGCTCCTTTCAGATTTTCTCTAAAACGGTTAAAAAAATAAGACAAAACTTGCATTTTACCCCTATGTTCTATTTTCGGCCATGTTGGTTGGTAGGCGGGGTCATCAGACACATTTTTTAAACTAGATACCCTAATGATGATTGTTGCCAAGTTTGGTTAAATTTGTCTCAGTAGTTTTAGAGGAGAAGATTTTTGTAAAAGATTACCAAAATTTACAAAAAATTGTTAAAAATTGACTATAAAGGGCAATAACTCCTTAAGGGGTCAATTGACCATTTTGGTCATGTTTGACTTATTTGTAGATCTTACTTTGCTGAACATTATTGCTGTTAACAGTTTATCTCTATCTATAATAATATTCAAGATAATAACCAAAATCTGCAAAATTTCCTTAAAATTACCAATTCATGGGCAGCAACCCAACAATGGGTTGTCTGATTTGTCTGAAAATTTCAGGGCTGATAGATCTTAACCTGATGAACATTTTAACTCTGTGAGATTTGCTTTAAATGCTTTAGTTTAAGAGATATAATCCAAAATCTGCATCTTACTCCTATGTTCTTTTTTTAGCCATGTCGACCATGTTGGTTGGCAGGCGGGGTCATATGACACATTTTTAAAACTAAATAGCCTAATGATGATTGAGGCCAAGTTTGGTTTAATTTGTCTCAGTAGTTTCAGAGGAGAAGATTTTTGTAAAAGATTACAAAAATTTACAAAAAATTGATAAAATATGACTATAAAGGGCAATAACTCCTTAAGGGGTCAATTGACCATTTTGGTCATGTTGACTTATTTGTAGATCTTTGCTGTACATTATTGCTGTTTACAGTTTTAAATTATCTCTTATCTATAATAATATTGAAGATAATAACCAAAAGCTGCAAAATTTTCTTAAAATTACAAACTCATGGGCAGCAACCCAACAATGGGTTGTCTGATTTGTCTGAAAATTATATATGTTCTTTTTTTAAACATGGCAGCCATCTTGGTTGGTGGGCCGGGCCAGGTGAGCTAAAAAAGGGGTTGTAAAATTCCCTACATGCAAACATCTGTTACATTTGAACCAGGGCTTCCAAAACGGTCATATATTCCGGACATTTGTATAATGTCCGGTAAAAGTCCGGCTGGGCAAAGCATGAAACGGTCATCTACTTTTTAGTTGACAAGGCTTTCTTAAGAGACGGTCATTTTAACATAATTCGCGATCTTTTTGACCCAACCTTTTGCCTTTAACAGCCACACATTTCCGGTCATAAAAGTGACATGATCATTAAGTACTATTAAAACAACCCCTACTTGAATACCTTCTCATTTTAATCAAGGCTAATTAGTTGTCGAACAGCTGAAATTTACCTGTTTAGGTGACAGGTAAACTATTTTGAACCGGACATTGATCGGTCTATTCAAAGTTATTTTCTTACATTTCAGCGGTTTGCATCTAATTAATTTAGTCAAAAAGATTTAAATTATTAGAAATACGTTAACAAATATGATTTGATGAAAAAATTAAAAAGGTGAAAATGAAAAATCGTCATAACCACGTTGTTTGAACCAGGGACATGTCTCTGTTTGAACTAGTACACGTGTGCGCATGTGCGTATGTGTGAAATTTAATTATGCATCCTAATTTCTTCAAAAAATGCTTAAATTGTCATTGATACCTTTATCTCAGCATTATTTCGAATATTTTCTTGAAGAAACAACGTAGAAAGAGCTACGTACACTCATTCATGCTTTGCAAACGTACACGGAATTTACGTATCAGTCTCTGGTCCATGTTTTACCATTGTCAAGATAACATCCGGTATAAGATTTTAACGAATGTAAAGTTTTTGACAACGTTATTTTGCACAAATAAAGAGTCTAAGGCAGATATAAGTACGCTGATGTTGCACACTTCGAATGATGCACTGCCAATTTAACAGTTTACGTCAGAACTTCGAATTTGAATCAAAGAAAGTTTAATATCGTTTTTTTTAATGTCAATCATTGGGATGGCCATCTCAACAACTGAATACCATAATTGCCTTTTGTTTATTTAGTCTTAAGGGATTAAAATCGGGATAATATATAAAATGTCAGGCTGGCTAAAAATAATTTTGGAAGCCCTGATTTGAACCTGATATCTCCATATGAAATCTAAACTGTCTGCTGGACATGCGTTCATGAACAGGGATATGTAAGAAAACTTTGAAATCTTTCTGATTATTGATGTAATAAACTTCAATCACCATTATAGAGTCCAGAGGTGCATACAAATTTTAAACTGAAGTGTAACAAAAAAATCATTTTGATCACATTTAATATCAAAATTAAAAATAAAATTGTTTACAAGACAATAAATAAAGTGTTGACACATCAAAACAACAAACAATGTGCATTCCACTGGATTAAGTACAAGATTAAAGAATTTATTTCATGATCTCTCAACATTTTCAAAACTTCATTCATTCTCTCGTTTAAAAATAGAAAATGTCTACAACAAGAAAGGAACAATACTCTTTCTTCCTCTTGGATAATCTTTGAACTCTTTTTTGTAGTTTTTATGCTTTCCTATTGCCCATACTGCCATCTGGTAAAATCCTACAGCAGTAAACGTTGCAGCTAAAATAAAAATATTTCGTTAGATGTTTTTAACTGACATCAAGTAAAATATGTGCATATTTATTTATAAAAAAGAAAATAACTTTTATTTAAAAAAATAAAATAAATGAAAGAACTTTAATGGGCTAGTCTATATAACTGATGTTCCAACATAAATGAAAGCATGGAAGTCACCATCATATTGTTCCTATTTAGTATTATTCATCTCTCAAAGACTTTGGTAATAGCATTCTAATTTGAAGAGGAACTTAAAACAGAGAATTATTTAGATTAAGAGTTTATTAAGAATTCTAGAAAATGGAAAGGTTTAGATCATGGGATGTTACTCTAGTGTTGTCATTAGTTTTCTTCTGAAAAAAAGGCTTTCCGTTTTCCGTTGGCCACATACTTACGTATTAAATTGATAATTTGACTAGTTCTAATCTCCTCCATGACAGCCCCAAATCAACCAAATGCAGACTGCCTAATAAAGGGTTAGTGTATTTTGGTGATCCCACATCCTATAACCCTTTATAATTTAATAAACTGAGTCATAGCCTTTATACATTGATGGTCAGTAATATTTATTGAACCGTTTTTAACAAGATCAAACTTCAAATCGCTGGAGAGTTACTGCTCTGTTGGCTTTTGAAGAAAACCAAATTGTGCAAAGTTTTAAGCAGTAATTCAAATAAAATTGTTACCTGGTAAACACTGAGTCATAACACTGAAACTAATCCATGCCATTACTTCGTAGGTATAGTTAGGACAAGATACACATTTAAACAGCTGATTGAAGGGATTAGAGTCTGGTTGTGGAATCTTTCTGACCTTGGTACCTGAAATAAAAAAGAGTTAAAACTTTAAATCACTTTCATCACATCTCATTTCACATTTACTCAAAAAGTTATTATTGTGAATGAAACAAGCTTTTCCTATCAATGAAAGCATAATGAGCTTGAATAGGAGAGTTCCAAGATAGTTGTTGTTTCCATGTGGAGGTTGAAAAAGTTGTATCATGTGACATTTTCACATGCCAAGTTTATCTCACAAGTGAATTTAGCATATCGAATGATTTTAATCAATTTCCACTTCCAAAACTGGACCACACTTTCCTATTTTGACCGTCACACCATTATGAAGACCCACCATAAGGTGTCATCACCCATAAGTTAATGTTTTCTTGCAGACGATGTTGTATTGACTGCAACGTTGCATTGATTTCTTACATTATCATTATTATGTGACTTTTGTGCGTAAATTGGTGAGAACTAATTATTGGTAAAACTGCATATTTAGTGAGAGTCATGTGAAATTTAGACATATAATTTGACCCAAAACAGAGTAACTTAATATGTTACTTTGCAACAAGAGTCGTCTATCATGTCTATATGTAATTCAATATAATGAAAATAACATTTGTTTGCATTTCATCTACAACTATACTACATACCTGCTGGTCTCATATTCTTAAAGCACAAGTGGACAGATAAGTTTCCAAATTCAGATAACTGTAAATAAAAACAATGTATCTTGTTAAGTACGTCCTTTGCAATTATATGTGTATTGATGGAAATTAAATTTGAGAATACCATGCCATTTAAGGAATTCGCTGTTCAACAAGCTTACATACCAATTATTGTAAATTCAGAAATTATTGCGTTCACTTATTATTGCCATTTCGACATGACAAACCAAAATGTGAGAACAATTATTGCGCTGAAAAGCTGCATACAAATATATGTGTCCGATTTCAAAATGCAAGTTCTTATTATTGCAATACTCACACAGTAGCATTATTCACAATAAAAAAACCTTGCAATAATTTCTGAATTAACAGTTGTTATAACTTTTCCATAAAATACATCTTATGCATGCTCAATATAAAAAGATGACCAAAAATGAAGTTATTCTGGGTCAGTTACACTGGGAAAATGTCACAGAAATATTAAGATTATTTAACATATCAAAAATTTTACAGTATCTTCAAATAGGAAGCAGGTGTCTGAAAGAGCTGAAAAGCATTCACATGTTACAACTCATCACTGTCAAACTGCTTACAAAATATGAAGTCATTCTGGTCTGTAGTACAAATGTATTGGATAAATGTTTGACAGATATTAATTTCTTTCAACATATTGAAATTCAAAGTATCAGCAAACAACAATAGGCATCTGACAGATCCCAAAAGTGTTCATACTTTACAAATTATTACTATTATGTTGCTGACCAAATACAATGTCATCCTGTTAATAAGTAACGGAGAAAAGTGGAAAAAATATTTATTGAACAAAATATTACTCTGGATATAAGGGCACATTTTCCCAAATTATTCCTATTGTCTACTATGATAAATCTAACAAGAGGCTGTCAGAGCGACAGCCAACCAGATTTTAACATTTATTTGTGTCCTGGCATTTTTCAATACCACAAGGACCATAACTCCTGAATGGTAAAAGTGACAATCATCAATATTGAACTTGGCCTCCATTTTGTCATCAGTAACAACATATTAAAATTTGAAAAGCTTTGGTTGAAAGGTTCACGAGTTAAAGCACAGACACGACTGGAAAGACCATTTTTCAATCTTTCAAGAACCGTAACTCCTGAACGGTGAAAGTGAAAATCGTCAATATTGATCTTGACCTCCATTTTGTCATCAGTAACAACATATTAAAATTTGAAAAGCTTTGGTTGATCGGTTCATGAGTAAATGCAGGGACACTGTTTGGCAGCCGCCCGCCTTCCCACCGTACATCCCCAAATCAACAAGCATTCTGAGAGTATTGCATGGCAATACATAGTCCCCTACCGGTTAAAAATTCATTGTATTGGAACAAAATGCTAACTTGATCTATAACTTGTCATGGTGTAAACTAAAAGTCCAAGGACCTTAACTCTGCACAAAATCATCAGATTGGAACAAAATTCGAATTTGATCTGTAACTTGTCATGATAAAACTATATACCAATTATCAAATCAATATCTTCAAGCATGACGAAAAAAAGGGTGGAAAACTGATTATTTGAGTGAATTTTCTAAGTCCAAGGACCATAACTCTGCACAAAATCATCAGACCGGAACAAAATTTGAACTTGATTTGTAACTTGTTATGATAAAACTATATACCAATTATCAAATCAATATCTTCAAGCATGACGAAAAAAAGGGTGGAAAACTGATTATTTGAGTGAATTTTCTAAGTCCAAGGACCATAACTCTGCACAAAATCATCAGACCGGAACAAAATTCGAACTTGATTTGTAACTAGTTATGATAAAACTATATACCAATTATCAAATCAATATCTTCAGGCATGACGAAAAAAAGTGTGGAAAACTGATTATTTGAGTGAATTTTCTAAGTTCAAGGACCATAACTCTGCACAAAATCATCAGACCGGAACAACTTGATCTGTAACTTTTCATGAAAATGCAAAACACAAAATATCAAATCAATATCTTCAAGCACGAAGAAAAAAAGTGTGGAAAACTGATTTGCCGGACTGACGGACGGACAGACGGAGGAACAGACAGACAGACAGAAAGACAGAGTGCAAACCTAAAGTCCCCTTCGACTTCGTCGGTAGGGGACTAATAACCAATTTATCCTTTGGAAATCCAGTTAAAAATCTACCTATTTTGTAATTTCAAACAATATTCATGTAGGAAAAAATAATGTCTTGTCATACTATGAAAATGTGCCTTTATCAAATTAAGCAAGCACACAACTAAAACCTCAAAATTTACAGTTTATATACATTATTTCTAATAAATTACTCATATTTGTTATCCAATAGAATGACTGATGGCAAATTAGCAGCTTAACTGTAGACCTTTCAAACTAAATATATCTTTAAAGATAACTTTTATTCCAGGAAGTACAAACTATTTATTTCGTCAGCTATCGTGCAATGAACAATATTTCATTGTCATGTCTGAACCTTTAGACTTACCAAGAATGCAGCTAATCCACCATATATCTGAAGATCTCCATAGGCTATACATAAAATATAGAAAATTAAAATCACATCATAGAATAATTTTAGATAAGTAAAGTATATTAGTGACAATATAAATGAAACATCATCCCATTAAAACAAGTTTACCAAACATAGCCACCATGTGGTCACCACACAGCTTCATAGAGAAATGACATAGAATCAATAAAAGTTCCTAACTGATTAAAAAATAATTATTAAAAATTTAAAAACTAAAAATCCATTTAAAATTCATATCAAATCTAAATATTTTCAGAAAAAGATTTAAAGTGGTTTTTCTACAAAGTCTTGACTTTCAAGTATTTGTTCTCATTTAGTATAACCTCTCCTTTAAAACAGGTATGAAAGAAAATCTTTTAAAAATAAACTATAGATTTCAATGATAAATTCCAATAATTTACACACAAAAAACCATAATCTTTCATGGTGTTAATGTTTAAGTGTTGTGACAACATTAAAATGGATATTTATTTTGTGTGTCCATAACTGTTGGTTCTTACCTGGTGTAGTATACAGAGGATGGTTGATAAAATAGCTGATAAAAGCTGAAAATCCCCAGTAATAACTGCAGTTCTGTAAAGTAGATAAATGTGTAAATATACATGTGTAGTACACTGTACACATAGGTGTAGTACACTGTACACATATAAAATGTACAAAATTAGACTATGACTCTTATACCTTTAAGGATTGGGCCAAAAATAATCTTCAATAAAAGGAAAATGTACTTATTAGTTACATGATATATTTGACATTCCAGCAAGAATGGCTTAAAATGACAAATAATACAGAAAGAACTAAAGCTGTGTAATAAACTGATTTATTTACAAAAATAGTCTAGCCACAGAAGATTGTCTCAATCATATGAAACATTCAAGAAGGTCCAATTCAGTGAAATTATAGTTTAATATTTAAAAAAAAATAATATCAAGGTAAGGCAATGATTTTAAACATAAAATTGTATCCTACCTTAAATAAATTCATAATAGGCATTGTAGCATTAGAGAATCTGTGTACAAATACTGTCTCCAGTAATCTTTTGATATAATGGAAAGAATAACATGCTGCTGCAATGCTGAAATATATAATGTTCTGTTGAGGAGAGATGTTTTTGAATTATCTCCCCTAATAACAGATCCTTCAGATCTGAACTTTTTGTTAAACTGATCCAGTCTAGATATTTTGACATTGCTTTCAGATACCATATTAAAATATGTACACATAAGTAATCTCATGATAGATAGAAGAATGTGCCAATAACTAATTTAATCAATCTGGATTAGATGGATAGAGGTTTAAAGTTCCAATTAGATAATATCAAGCAATTTTCTTAATCATAAATTATTTTGTATTCATGACAGTTAAAAATACTAAGACATTCATAATCTTTAAAAAATTAAGGATGTGGTTAAACTGATTATTCTTACTATGTTCACAGAGTACACTATGACATCAAAAAAGCTAAAAACCTTTCTAAAATTGTCCGTTAATAAATTTTGAAATTATAAGAAAACTAAAGTTTCAACTCCCTCATGTAAAGTTGATCTTAGATGGATTTGGCTATTTTTTAGGTCCTTTTTGGTGATATAGCTCTACAACTGTTTCAGTTTTTATACATCCTTGGTTTTCAAATATTCGGCTTTGAGCGTTCCTGATGAAGATAAATCCAGAAAAGTGCTTCAGACGCATGAAATTTATAACGTGTTGTTTTCATTTTTTAAAGGTCATCAAATATTTCTTCCTTTATAATTACATTGAAGTAACATCCTGATTTCCTTTAGAAAAGAACATACTCTTGAAAAAGCCTACTGTGGATTCATTTATTTTCCAGGATATTTGATTTCATGGTTTTGCCAAAGTTAGCATATGAGCCTATAGAAAATTTGTACTTAGTTAAACATTTAAATTCATAAATCACCATTACTTACAAAATCCATCAACAAAAATTAGTATCCAGTAAATAATAATGAATCCACAGTATTTAAAACATTTACCCTCTTCCATCCTTCAAAAAAAGTGTAATAAATCCAGTCAAATTGATGAGAAAAAGTTGAAATTGTGAAATGATGATAATGGTATCCATACAAAAAGTTGTCAGCTGTGTAATTTTGTTGATTTCATTGATTGACACGAGGTAAGGTAGTAACCAAATGGTTAAATCATGAGCAATTATTGAAATTGAGGAAATGATTTTTTTTGGTGAAAAATGTGATTCTTGGAAACTCCAGCTGGGTAAATGATATAAATAATGTCAGCTGTTAGCATGATGACAAATAATCATCCCAATTACAATCAGAGTAGTTTCAATATTTATATCTAGAATAACTATTATATCTTAATCAACAGTAATCCACTGGGGTGCTTTCTAGTTACACCGTGATATATGCCGTGATAACATATATTAAGCATAAATAGTCCATTTTCCTAAAACTTTTTGTTAAAATCATCTCACACAAGAGCAACCATATACTGTAGTAAAAATTTTGAAAGAGAAAAAAAATAATAAAATTATTTTTGAGAAGTAATTACAAAAGTTTGTAACTACTAACTGTACTACATTGGCTTTAGGTTCTGATGCTGCTGCTACTCCATAGATAATTGCTGGTCTGGTATAAAATATAAGGTATACTACTAACGGTCCTGCATATTCACACATAAATACCTAGAAAATAGAAATTGTCTCTGTCAAAAACAGATAAAAAATATATTACTTTAAAGTTCCATCCTTTTAAGAAAGCTTTAACATTGCAGGCAGTGCAAAGTAAAATAAAATCTTTATACAGCACTGAAAAATTAATTGCTGTTAAAAATAAAAGAATAGATATTTTTGATCAGAATTGGAATGCTTTTGCCATCCTTTTCAGTGAATAATCAGTTATTTTTTACATTGTATATGTGTACATAAATTAATAGACATAGAATTGTCATATGATATATTGTCTCTTATATGAGAAAAAACTACATGATTCATCTGTGCAAATAAATAACCAAAACAAACAAAACAACTTTAAATTTCTTTGAAATTCATCTGATTACCTATCTTTCAATTATTTTTAATTTTTCTTGTTTTTTGTTTTTTGTTTTCGTTATTTGAATTAAAAAAATCTACAGACATATCTTATATATCTTTATATTTTACTACTAAAACAACACAAATTATGTATTTTTCAAAACCTGTGCATTTGTTATATTAGATAATTATATGTTTGATAATCTTAATGATAAGCTTCTTTATTGATATTACTGACATGGTATATGATTTTTTTAAGTATGGAAAATTGTATGTATAGTACTAACAAAAACTAACAGCTGTATAAATATGTTATTTACTTATGTTAACGAGGCCGGGATAAGGTACCGGTACTTGATGTTTTCCATTAACAAATGTACAGATTTCAATAAAATATGCTAAATTAAAAAAAAAAAAAGTTCCATCCAGAAGGGAGTTTAATTAAACATGTTAAATACAGATCTTTATCACATCATGTGTCATGCTTTTACCTGATTAGAAACAGAAAATGTTTATCATACAATTTGTTTTGGTTTAATAATAAAACGACCTTAAAGCATGAAAAAAAACTTTTGAGATAAAAAATTTGAAACAATTTGTGTCATAGAATTTTTTTTGGGTAGGAAGGCAACATCAAACAATTTTAATTTTATTTGTTGCCTGAATTAATATTATGTTTTAAGTGAATCATACATACTGTAGACCATCCTATCTGAGGTCCAAGGTCTTTAAAATACAATGTTGGTTTACTAGCAAGTCCAAGTTCTCCCAAAATATCTTCATCCTTCAATACCTTTCCTTCTGCAACACAATGGTAACATGTCCATCAATAACAAATTTTCTAAAAAGTTTTTCTTGAAGCAACAACTTTTTGTCATAAAAAAAATTATGAAATGAATACTCATCAAAATGTTTTTTAATCTATCTACTTTTTGTTACACACATAGCTGTTGTAAGTTGCAAATGTAAGTTACTACAGAACTAAATGATGCTTTTTATTTCTATGGTGTTTATTGTTCCACAAAATAATACATACGAGTACTCTCAAATGGTACTTTCTTGTTAATTTGACCTGTTGACACAATTTGTTATGCATTTCTGTTATTCAATGTTTACTTATTTTGTGTTATATCTCGTCTCACTATTTTTAATATGTACCACCTTTGATAAGTATTTAGTATGACAATAAATTTACACTTCTGTACTCGTACTGTAAACAACAAATTTATTTATTTTGTAAATAAATGTGGATAGTGTCCACATGTGGACACAGATGATGCCCCCGCTTGCATATCATATAGTTATAAAGGGACATAACTGAAGAACGGTAAAAGTGTCGCTACCCAAATTTGAACTTGATCTGAGTTTTGTGGTAATAAGCATTGTGTGTAAGTCTCATAACATTTGGTTGAGGCTAACTTAAGTAGAGAACAGGAACTAAAAATTCAGCAATTTTTCTATTTGTAAACACGCATAACTCTAGAACGGTTGTGTATAAGTTTTACAACATTTGGTTGAGACAAACTAAAAAATTCAGCAATTTTTATGTTTATAAAGGGACATAACTCTAGAATGGTAAAAGTGTTGCCACCTAATTTCGTACTTAATCTGTATTATGTAGTAATAAGCATTGTGTATAAGTTTCATAACATTTGGTTGAGGCAAACTCAAGTTAGAGAACTGAAACAAAAAAATTGTACTTGATCCTTCCTGAGTTTTGTGGTAATGAATATTGTGTATAGGTTTCATAATGTTTGGCTGGGGAAAACTTCAGTTACAGAATGGAAACTAAAAAATTTTGCAATCTTTCTATTTATAAAGGGGCATAACTCAATAATGGTTAAAGTGACACTACCCAAATTCAACTTGAACTGTGTTTTATCAGTGGAAGTCAAAATTAAACATTGCATTGTATAAAGCAATGATTGTAGTTGATTCAACTATAATCATGGTCAAAGGAAGATAACTCCAATTTTAAAAATATATTATATAAACTTAGATATTTAGAAGAAAATAAAAATTTTGCAATTTTTCCTTTTATAAAGGGGCATAACTCTAGATCGGTTAAAGTGACACCACCAAAATTCAAAGTTGATCTGTGTTTTGTGGTAATAAGCATTGTGTATAAGTTTCATAACATTTGGTTGAGGCAAACTTAAGTTAGAGAACGGAAACTAAAAATTTTGCAATATTTCCTTTTATAAAGGGGCATAACTCTAGATCGGTTTAAGTGACGCCACCAAAATTCAAACTTGATCTGTGTTTTGTGGCAATAAGCATTGTGTATAAGTTTCATAACATTTGGTTGAGGCAAACTGAAGTTAGAGAACGGAAACCAATTTCGGGACGTACGGACGGACGTACGGACAAGGGTAAAACTTAATGCCCCCTCCGCTACGGCGGGGGCATAAAAATGTTTCCGTACTCCTAACAACAAAATTATTATATTTAAATTTACCTGTGTACGTTATTTTATTTAACACCATTTTGTCCCATGTTAGAGTTTTTTTTTTTTTACATTGTTCCTACATCTTTTTTATTAATATTGTATCTATATTGTGTCATAGATCAAACTTATTCTTTAAGCATGTTAAGTGTATGTTCACTTGTTTTTGTTTATATGTCTTTATGATCAAGGTAAGCCATTTCAATTGATATTTTATAGTGTCTTTTTATGTTGTAATGTTACACTACTGTCTCAGGTTAGGGTGAAGGTTGGCGCCTGTTAAAATGTTTAAACCCACTGCATTTGTATGCACCTGTCCTAAGTCAGGAGCCTGTTGTTCAGTGGTTGTCATTTGTTGGTGTGGTTCATAAGTGTTTCTCGTTTTTTATATAGATTAGACCTTTGGTTTTCCTGTTTGAATTATTTTACACGTCATTTTGGGGCCCTTTATAGCTTGCTGTTGTGAGCCAAGGCTCTGTGTTGAAGGCTGTACTTTGACCTATAATCCTATAATTGTTTACTTTTAATACATTATGACTTGGATGGAGAGTTGTCTCATTGGCACTCATACCACATCTTCTTATTTATATATGAGTCTGACCAGTGTTCTCCCCAGGGCCTTAAAGGACAGCGGGCCCGCGATGTATAATTTTTTACCGTGGTGGTATCGTTCTTACCGCGATGTATTATATTTCTCCGTGGTGCTAAATTTTTTAGTTAAAAAATCGAAAATCGGTAAAGTTTTAAATGACTTGTTAAATCTTTTCCTTGCGGTATAAAATTCCAGGTGAAATTTGACCAGTTCAAACCAGTTCAGATTGTTTACACCACATGATCGATTCACCTTTATGAGGTTAACCTTTGTTGATTGGATTTAATCGATGTAATTAACACTTGTAAAATGATTCTTTTGTGTTTTAATTAAGAGATCATAACTTTATGATCGTAGATAACTATTTTATGGCTACACTCACCACCTGACAAGTCGGCAAATACTTTGTACACAAACCGTGTTGACCCGATAGTTCACACGACGGTACACATTTTGTACATTATAGTCATTATAAAGTTGGCTCATTACGTATAATTGACCATTATACACTTCTCAATACTTATATAATAGTATTATATGTCTCTGATTAAACCATGGCCAAATTATCTTTAATTTTGACATAGTTTATATTGCATGATATTCGGGTTTCAAACTATCATAGTATCTGTCAACAAGTAATTCAAAGGGGACAGATCACATGACCAAGTTAGTTCACATAGAATACCCAAGATTATTTACAATTAACTGCAATCTATTCTATTTTATAAATAAAATGCATGACTGTACCTTCAAACTGGATATCTATATCCATATGATAATTAATGAATAACAGAACTGATTTGCAAATTTTATCCATAAGCACATGTTAAATCTATTTATATCTACTTCCTGTCATTTAGGCGGGAAAATAGGGAGACTTTGTTGTTGACATTGAATAGGGTTACTTATAGAACTAGGATAAATTTATAGATTTAGGAATTCTTTTTAAATGGATCATGACAAATAAAGATTTAGATTTCAGTGCAGTATTAAGTCTGTATCTATGTTTGATTATCACTAAAGACAAGAAAAGTTAATATTTATATGAAATCTATGGCAAAATGTTTTGAAATTTATGAAAAATTTCTTTTTATTAAAATTTAAGATAGAAACTGGTTCAAATAATAATACAATATTTGTTCTTTTTAATTTTATATCTCCTTATGACAGGAATCCTTTCACAATACAACATCTTTCATTCTAGAAATAAGAAAGTTTTTTAAATTAAACTTTTTTGTTCTCTTTTGAATGATATTTTATTCTTATTGATCATTGATTTTATAATAGATTTAATAACTTTAAATTTAGATGAATATTTTGTAATGTATCATGTTTTATTTATTTTTTTTTTTAAATATTAAAGTATACATGTCAAACTGTTTATTGATTTACTTCTTTTTACCAATAATTTTCAATGTCTACATAACACAGTACCACAACATTAAAACAAAACAGGAGACATAAAAACTACAATTACTAGAAATATAGCTAAGCAAAGCAAACACAACTGATTGTATGAATCATTTCACCAAGCAGTCCACACGCGTTACCCTGGTGCTATCCAAAAATCCTGGGGAGAACACTGCTGACACTATTGCTTTATAGTTTGGCTTGAAATTTTTTTACATGAAAATACTTCTAACATTAAAAGATATTTGTACTTTTTACTTACTTGGATCAGTTTTAAATGCTTGTCTAGTTGGATAAAACTTTGAATCTGGAAAAAAATGGAGTTAAATATTTAAAAGTTCAAATATTTCATATATATTTGATATCAATTTATACTCTCTGATTAGTAACTTTACCATGTACTACCGGATTTGTTATTAAACTTTACCATGTACTACCAGATTAGTTATTAAACTTTACCATGTACTACCAGATTAGTTATTAAACTTTACCATGTACTACCGGATTTGTTATTAAACTTTACCATGTACTACCAGATTAGTTATTAAACTTTACCATGTACTACCAGATTAGATATTAAACTTTACCATGTACTACCGGATTTGTTATTAAACTTTACCATGTACTATTGAATTAGTTATTAAACTTTACCACGTACTACCGGATTAGTTATTAAACTTTACCACGTACTACCGGATTAGTTATTAAACTTTACCATGTACTACCGGATTAGTTATTAAACTTTACCACGTACTACCGGATTAGTTATTAAACTTTACCACATACTACCAGATTAGTAATTAAACTTTACCACGTACTACCGGATTAGTTATTAAACTTTACCATGTACTATCGAATTAGTTATTAAACTTTACCACGTACTACCGGATTAGTTATTAAACTTTACCATGTACTACTGGTATGCCTCTTTGATTAGTTATTAAACTTTACCATGTACTACCGGTATGCCTCTTTGATTAGTTATTAAACTTTACCATGTACTACCGGATTAGTTATTAAACTTTACCATGTACTACCGGTATGCCTCTTTGATTAGTTATTAAACTTTACCATGTACTTCCAGTATGCTGTTTTAAAATTTAAATAAATGGAGACACAGATTATCCCCCCGCTTGCATATAACTTTATAAATGGCATAACTCCAGAACGTAAAAAGTGATGACACTCAAATTCCAACTTGATCTGTGTTTTGTGGTAATAAGCATGGTGTATAAGTTTCATAACATTAAGTTGAGACAAACTAAAGTTAGAAAATGGAAACCAATTTTGGGACGTACATACCTATGTACATACGTATATACAGACGGACGTACAGATGTTCGGACGGACAAGGAAAACATTTAATGCCCCCTCCGCTGTGGCCAGGGGCATAAAAAAAGCCCCTGTAAATTGCTGCATAGATATGATTCAATGCATTGATAAAGATTGATTTTTGTCAGAAGCAGGATAAAAATCTAAAAGAACTTACTTTTAACCTGGTACTGCTTTTTGACATCTCCTATTGTGGATTTTGCATTTAACTGAAAAAGAAGGAGCATACATAATTACATAATTATTTTACTTTATTTGCATGAATTTTAGTTATATTCTTATGAATTCTAAAATATAAAGAAAATTGATATGTTCAAAACATGAAATAAATAATTTCTTATCAAGTTTCTATATAATCAATAACACACCTAAGGCAGAATTTGCACAAAAATATTTTATTTTTTCTTGTTTTATTTCCATGAAATAATATGAATCTTTATTCAACTCAAAAAGAGAAGGGGCAATAAGGCCCTTATTTGGCCCAAATATTAATGCAAATTAACAAGAGGCTCCCAAGAGCCTGAATCGCTCACCTGGTAATAATTATGCAATTTTGATAAAAAAAAAAAAAATCCTTTATCATAATCAGTTTCATACCTGCCAACTTTCACGATTTAGGCGTGTACTACATGATTTTGACCCTTTGTCACGATTGCACGATCGTGATCGTGAAAAAACCTCTAAAACACGATTTAGTGAAAATCTACACGAAAAATATGAATGTTCCCGATTTTGACCTGTTCCCAAGGGAAGACAATCGTGATCAGCCAATCAAATTCTGTGTTTCTCATGATCAAATTAATAAGCCAATCAAAAACGTTTTCTCTTAAGATAATTCTAACATGCTAGATTTTGAACTTGTGTTGTATTCCTCTGTGTTAGTCAGAATTGTATAGATTGAAATAAACAATTAATTTCCCCATAGGCGACAATGATAGCCTTTTTCGAGATACAGACTTCAGAAAGTTGATTTTTTTAACGAAACCTTGCTAGAATTAAAGAAAAGTTATTAGGACATTATTTTTTGGTCCAAAAAATATAGGTTCGCGTTGCTTTTCTTAGCGTAATTTGTACTTATCTCCCATGCCTATCAATTTTGCACTTAAAAATACGTGTCTCATCTTAGCGTTTAAAAGACATCTCAGTTCCGTTAGGGCTAATGAAAATAATTTATTTGGCCTTTGGTATAATGCAGAATGCACGAAGTCTCTAATAACAAAAAATAACGGGCGCACATATCAACCAATCAGGATTAGCTATACTCTTAATTCTGAATACCATGTTATGCTCATAAAATGGCTGCGCCCATAAAATCTAATGGTGTATTGTAACCTATACGGTATTTAATACTTTCTAGAATCATGCAATTCATAGTTCGTTAGATGCACAAATATATATGCCACACAAAAATCATCTTCAAAACGTTCTGGCATTACTCTCTGAATTTTCACAATTTTTTATCAGAGGTGACCCCAGTCAAAAAATAGGGAAAAAAAATTTCTGATTTTTTGAGTAAATGCGGTACTGCTAAAAAGGGCCTGAAGATAATGTCCACTTTCTCCAATGATTCTTTGTATGTCATCAAGTACTGATTATATTGATACCAAAACCGATCCATTATGTAACTACTACGGTGAATTTTGAACAACAGTTTTAAATGAAACCATTTTCGTATAAAAGTACATTTTTGAAACAGACTATAGCATTTCAAAATATGAAAAATGTGTAAATATTTGTGCTTAAACATCGAAAACTATTCGTTAACTACAAAATGTCATGCCTATTCCATTTTTTATAGTCTGTCATTCGAGTGAACATTTCAATGTTCAAGGGGATCATTTCTGTACATTTTCACTGAATTTGGTAATTTCGATAACAGCACATGGATCGAGATTGTCATGTTTAAAAATCGATTTGTATATCCAAACTCTAGACGTGTACATGCTTTTTTCAAACAAATCAGCAGAAGTTCAGAAAATGACATATTCTCTCCACAGTAAGTCAAAAGTCGAACCCACCCTTGTTTCTAAGGTAAAACGCAATACAAAAATGAAACAGACTATAGCTTAAAAACTAGTTAATCAATAATTCATTTGTCACCAAAAAATACAGTTTCACATCAAATATCAAGTAAAATTACTGTTTTTGACACTTTTTGAGCACTATGATAAAGAAATGTCGACGCTGTATAGATTGAAATAAACAATTAATTTCCCCATAGGCGACAATGATAGCCTTTTTCGAGATACAGACTTCAGAAAGTTGATTTTTTTAACGAAACCTTGCTAGAATTAAAGAAAAGTTATTAGGACATTATTTTTTGGTCCAAAAAATATAGGTTCGCGTTGCTTTTCTTAGCGTAATTTGTACTTATCTCCCATGCCTATCAATTTTGCACTTAAAAATACGTGTCTCATCTTAGCGTTTAAAAGACATCTCAGTTCCGTTAGGGCTAATGAAAATAATTTATTTGGCCTTTGGTATAATGCAGAATGCACGAAGTCTCTAATAACAAAAAATAACGGGCGCACATATCAACCAATCAGGATTAGCTATACTCTTAATTCTGAATACCATGTTATGCTCATAAAATGGCTGCGCCCATAAAATCTAATGGTGTATTGTAACCTATACGGTATTTAATACTTTCTAGAATCATGCAATTCATAGTTCGTTAGATGCACAAATATATATGCCACACAAAAATCATCTTCAAAACGTTCTGGCATTACTCTCTGAATTTTCACAATTTTTTATCAGAGGTGACCCCAGTCAAAAAATAGGGAAAAAAAATTTCTGATTTTTTGAGTAAATGCGGTACTGCTAAAAAGGGCCTGAAGATAATGTCCACTTTCTCCAATGATTCTTTGTATGTCATCAAGTACTGATTATATTGATACCAAAACCGATCCATTATGTAACTACTACGGTGAATTTTGAACAACAGTTTTAAATGAAACCATTTTCGTATAAAAGTACATTTTTGAAACAGACTATAGCATTTCAAAATATGAAAAATGTGTAAATATTTGTGCTTAAACATCGAAAACTATTCGTTAACTACAAAATGTCATGCCTATTCCATTTTTTATAGTCTGTCATTCGAGTGAACATTTCAATGTTCAAGGGGATCATTTCTGTACATTTTCACTGAATTTGGTAATTTCGATAACAGCACATGGATCGAGATTGTCATGTTTAAAAATCGATTTGTATATCCAAACTCTAGACGTGTACATGCTTTTTTCAAACAAATCAGCAGAAGTTCAGAAAATGACATATTCTCTCCACAGTAAGTCAAAAGTCGAACCCACCCTTGTTTCTAAGGTAAAACGCAATACAAAAATGAAACAGACTATAGCTTAAAAATTAGTTAATCAATAATTCATTTGTCACCAAAAAATACAGTTTCACATCAAATATCAAGTAAAATTACTGTTTTTGACACTTTTTGAGCACTATGATAAAGAAATGTCGACGCTGTATAGATTGAAATAAACAATTAATTTCCCCATAGGCGACAATGATAGCCTTTTTCGAGATACAGACTTCAGAAAGTTGATTTTTTTAACGAAACCTTGCTAGAATTAAAGAAAAGTTATTAGGACATTATTTTTTGGTCCAAAAAATATAGGTTCGCGTTGCTTTTCTTAGCGTAATTTGTACTTATCTCCCATGCCTATCAATTTTGCACTTAAAAATACGTGTCTCATCTTAGCGTTTAAAAGACATCTCAGTTCCGTTAGGGCTAATGAAAATAATTTATTTGGCCTTTGGTATAATGCAGAATGCACGAAGTCTCTAATAACAAAAAATAACGGGCGCACATATCAACCAATCAGGATTAGCTATACTCTTAATTCTGAATACCATGTTATGCTCATAAAATGGCTGCGCCCATAAAATCTAATGGTGTATTGTAACCTAAAATCGTGAACATGGAAGGTTAATGTTCATCTGCAAGGAGGTTCTTAAACAGCTTAAGAATAAAAGCATGGCTGATTGACAAAATTCAATGATGCAGTACTACCATAAAGATAATAAATACCGGGGTAGTAGTTTATTCACTAATTTATTGACATTACACTTGCTGAAACATATGTCATTTTTGTATTCAATTAAATTACCAAATGGGGCAAATCATTTAAGGTACAATGTACTATACATTTGTACTTCATTTTTCACAAGGGCCAAACAAACAGGTTCGGAACAAACCCCAAATGAGGGGTATATCCCTTAAATGACTGTTGTATAAAAGAAAAAAGAAAAATTAAGATTTTTTAACTTAAATTTTTAAAATTGGGAAAATTCATTATATTTGGAACAACTTTAAAGTCTTTTCTAAATGAGGGGTCCAATTATTTTTAATAATAAAGAAGATAAAAATCCAGGAACGTTACAAAATTCTTGGGCATGTTTTGACCATATAATACCAGATAGATGTATAATTCTTTAGGAAAAGTTTCTTCAAATATTATAGATATGTGCTCATTTGTACTTAAAATTGGTTTTTAATGTCCTTAGATTGAGGGGTTACCCCTCATTTGGGGTGTTGTTCCAAACCTGATAAAAGTCCTTCTTTATGCATAATTTTAAACATCAACAATCATTTAATATCCTAACACAAGAAAATAAATCCTTGTCTTCTAGCTACAGATTCATCTTTTCTACTGATATATTAATAATAACTAGAATCATGCTAATAAACTTAAGAAAAGGGCTTGTAAGCTCATCATACAAATATGACACTTTTTCTAGACCACGAAACAGCATGCGCAAAATATGTCGCAAAGAATTGTTGTCGCGCACTAAAACCCCCATGGGGACTTCCAAACGTTGGCAGGTATGCAGTTTCAAGGCAATAAATCCTATTACTAGTGTGACAATGTGGCCATGTTGACATAATTGCAGATCTTTTTTTACTTTTAAAGTTTCTCTCTAACTCAAATGGTTTTTCACAAAATGCAAAAAATAGATAAAAATCATAAAGCAGGGTAAATAACTTCTATAAAGATTTTGTTGACAGTTTTGGCCATGATGACTGATTTGTGGATCTTATTGTGCTGAATAGTTTTGCCTTTTTATAGTTTCTCACTGTCTATTATAGTTTGTGCAAAAACAGCACACATAGAAAAAAAAAATTTCAAGGGAAATAACTCCTAAAAGAAGTTAGTTGACAATTTCAGCCATGTTGACTTATTTGTAAATC